TTGTCCATATAAGATTTCAAAGGAGCTTAGCCCTTCCTTTCCCCTTGGTATATGCAAAAGAGCTAAAGGAAGAGACTGAGGCCAAACTGAACTTGCTTCTTGTCCCAATTTCACAATTTGCTGTTTGATTAAATGGTTCATTTTTCTACTTGGCCACTTGACTGAGGGCAATATGTGGTATGAAGTTGCCAGTCTATACCCAAATGGCAGCTAATTTGCTGTACCACTTTTGTCCCTGTCAGAGGATATAGTTGCTGGAACTCCAAAACATGGTATTATTTCTTGTAGTAATATCTTAGTTACCTCCCGAGCCTTGGCTGTTCTGGTTGGAAATGCTTCTGGCCATCCTGAAAAGGTGTCAGTTAATACCAACAAATACCAGTACCCCCCTTTTCTTGGGAGTTTGGTGAACTCAATCTGCCATTGTTGTCCAGGCCCATTACCTTTTCCAATTTGGCCCATTTTTGGCTTGGGAGTGTTCTTGGGATTAGTCTGGAGACAAAGATCACATTGCTGAGTTACCTGTCTTACTGTGGTATCCAAATCAGGTCCTATCCATTCTCTATTTAAAAACTTTGATGCTACTTCAGCTTCCCAGCATGCTTTATACTTTTCTCCAGTTACCATTCAATTTAATATGGTATCACATTTTTCCCATCATTTATTTATGTTAAACCTGCACGTAACATTTTCTGTTTACATCTTAGAATATTCTACTTCATTTTCTCAAGCTTTTGTTAATGCCTGGTTTTCTGTTCCTGGTACTAGTGCCAAAATTTGACTTTCAGATGCCTGTTCTACCACCCCTTTGGCTCCTGCATCAGCCAATCTATTTCCCCTTTCAATATCAGTATCCCCTGCTTGATGTCCTTTAATGTCAATTTTAGTAGGCAGGTATACCACTTGGAGTAATTTCAGTATCTCTTCTGCATGCTTAAAAGTCCTCTCTCCTTCCAAATTGCCCCGTGTGTATGCACTACACCAAAGGCATATTTCAAAAATTTATGTGTAAACAATAAGATTCCTTTTTCAGAGAAGGAGCCAGGTTATGCTCCCTATAGCCCTAATATTGCGCTGGTGGCAGCAGAAGTCGCTCCAGGAAGGGAGACAGGGACTGTAATTAACACTGTCCCTAGAAGAGAAGCGTACTCTAGGCTCTGGCAAGAATTAGAACAAGGTAGAAGAGATATTGAGAATTTTTCCTTCCCTGATACCAACAGTACTAACACTTAACAGTGTACCCTCTTAAGTGAACTACCTCCCCTCCTTACCAGCAGAGAGGTTAGGAATTTTAAGAGGAGAGGAAGTCTTCAATTGAGGACCCCATCAGGCTAGCTTAACTATTAGACCAGTTCCTATGACCTAACTTATACTCTTGGTGGGGGTAGAATTATGTCTATAAGTATGTTGTTTACAGGGAAAGAAATGGGAATGATCAGGAGGAGAGCTGCTATAAAAAATGGGAAATAGTTCATCCTCCAGGACCAGGGGTAATACCAGCAGGGCAGAAATACCCTCTTGCCGATCCTGGCTGGAATAATAATAGTGTGCAACACAGAAATCATATGAGACACTTGGGGTCAGAATGAGAAAGTACTTGGGGAAGAATCCAGAGGACCCGGTATCCCAAGGGCTCTTGAAAGTTCATTTTGTGATTAAAACCTGGCAAAATACACAGAAAATGCTCCAGAAGGTGGAGGGATGTCGTGAACAGACACTGGGGGGCCCTCCTGCGGGAGGCCCAGAAGGTGTGTGTCAGGAGGGGAGATGAGAAGAAAAAGCAGAGAGCGAAACTAATCATATCGACAGTGTAGCAGGTAGTGAGGCAGAGGGTTGGAGAAAGAGGAAGAAAATCTTCAGGGGGAGTCAGGGCCAGGATGGAAAGGAGAGGAAGAGAGATGAAGGAATGGCAGGCAAGGAAAGCTACCTGCATTGCACCCTGAATCCAAGCAGGGACAGGCTTTGATGGGAAGTGTGGCCAGGCTGGCCACTTCAAATAGGAATATCCGGAGAGGAAGGAGGAGAGAAGGAAAATGGGATTAAATATGGTATACTGATATGTTGTTTCAGCATCCTGGAGGGAAAAAAACTATGGAATTAAGTTGGCCAATGACTGAGTCTTTTGTGAAAGTACAGGCTGGAGAAAGATAGAAAGAGCTGTTAAAAGAGTTATTGAGGGTGTTAAAGGTGTGGTATGTAGTGTCTGACAGAGCTGTCTGAAGTTCAGGGAGCAGGGAAAGAGGATGTAGGCATTATCTAAGTAACAGTCTAGAAGTTTTGGTATATTTGCTGTGATGTTTCGTCAGTTTCCCAAGTATGGGGGGGGGGGGGGGGGGGGGGGAGGGAGGGAGGCAGCCTGCTCCACAGGCCGCAGGGGGACTTCGGCTCTGGTGCCTGGAGCACCTCCTCCCCCTCCTCCTGCACTGACTTTGATATCTGCAGGGAGGTTTCTCACTCCTTGCTCTCAAGGCTGCTGTTGAGCAGCAGGTGTTTGTTTGTTTGTTTGTCTTCGTGGATGTGCTCTCACAGAGGCATGGACTGTGTTCCTCATGGCTTGGCTCTGGGCAGCAGTGGGCCCCTTTGGGGTTGGATGAAATTGTCCCTTATCTGCCACGGGGAGGCTTCTGGATTTTTCTCACAGGGGCTGCCAGTGCAGCTCCCCCCTGAACCTCACCATCGAACACAATACACTGGGGCAGCTAGGTCATTACTGGCCTATAAAGTATCAGGGGTTAAATTAACTAATGAAACCCTAAAAGCGATAGGGGTAGAAGGGGCTGGGATAACAGTGCCACTTCTGGGGGATCATCTGAATGAGACAGGTGGAAGTTGCAGTGGCTGCAACTTTGCCAGCTGACTGCACTGTGTGAGGTACAGCTTGGGACCTTCCTGCCTCAGGAGGAACCCGAAGCCTGGGGTGATCCCCAGCACCGAGCTGTCCTCACATGCTGCCCGAAGTACATGTATGTGAAGTCGGATCTCCCTAGGAGGAAGTCCAGGCCGCCATGTACTCCCAGCACTGAGTACATGAGTTCATGTCACCAACACTCCAGACAGATGCCTGATTAAGGAGGTATTAAGGAAGCATTGGGGGGGCAAGGACAAACCCCAGACAAGGACTGTATATCTCAAAACAAGACACTGGAACTCATGATAAGGAAGCGGCAGACAGACAGAAACAAATGTAAGGACTATAAATCTCAAAACTGGACATTGGAATTCATTATAAAGATACAACAAACGGAAGAATTAGCCAACCAGCTCTTGCAATTAGCAACAACGAGCTCTTGCAATTAAGAAACATGCCAATTCAGCAGATTCCTGACCAAAGGTGAAAAGTACACTGTGAGGAAGATTCGGGGTCTTCCTCCCAAAGACCCCTGCCCACGTCCCAAAGACCCCTGCCCACAATTCTTGGGAGGCTCTATGCAGGCGCAAGGTGCCAAAAGGCTAATTAGCATGAGAAGCAAGGGAAGGCGGGAATAGGTAATGCATATGTATAGGTGCTTGTAGAATATTGATAGATTGATTGTATAAATTCAAGACTGCTTTCTGCTTTGGGTATGCACGATAGGTGGAGAGATCCCCCGTGCATCCAGCGCTGCAATAAAGAATATACCACTTAAAGGAATTTTGGCTTCGATCTTTGAATCAGCCTAACATAGGGACCTGTCCACATGGCGCACGAATGCACCCCTGAGGCCTCTGGAAGGGCAGGTGGTGCAGCCAGGCCTCCCCAGCCTCCCCCCAGGCATTTCAGGAATTTGAAGTTTCACAGTGGAATATTTCTGTTCCTAAAAGTAGTCTTAGGTAGGATAACTGTTAATTTTTTATTTTATTGAAGTCCCCAAGTGGAAACTCATTGGCTTGTTTATCCAATGTAATTTATTTTAATGTAAAATACACTTTTTTATGACAGAATACTTCTGTCTCTGATTTATCTTTAAAACAATTTTTTGTTTCCGCAAGCTGCCTTTTTAAAAAAGAAAAGAGCTCTTTGAAGGGCTTAACTGAAAACTTGTTGCTGGGTTGTGTATTTTCTTGTTTTCTCCCCCCCAGACAAACAAACAAAACTTAGACATCACTTTTTGCAATTTGTACTTGTAATTTTCAGAGTCTCCATCCCAGAGTTTCTTTGGATCACTGGTAGGCATTAAAATAAAAATTGGCATTGTTTCTCTCACTTGTATTTCCAGTTCTAAGAACAACACATTTAATTAAATGTTCTAGATGTCTTTCTTGTCAATATCTTAGAAAAAATGGTTCATTTAATTTGTCGCTACATCAATTTTTACACAAAGTAAGTCACATACATTTACACAATGTAAGTCACATTCTAGGCTAATCTAAAAATAAAAAAGGAAGAAAAACAAAACCCTAAGAGGTGTGTGTCAAAAAAAAAAAAAAAAAGGCATTGAAATTCTGCATTGAAGTGCAGGAGGAATGAGAGGCAGCTTCAGTAAATTTTTTTGAGCTGGCCAGCTTTTAAAATTTAAAAAAATTTCAAGCATTAGCTCTGCCTTGCCCACAGCGAGACGAGTTCAGATTTTACATCTGACCTAAGAAGCTGCCACAGTGAAAAGTTTCAGCAAAGCTAGGAAAGTCCAGGAGATGGTGAGACTCACACAGCTAGCCCATCATGTTTTACATGAGACAGTGCCTAAGAGTAAGCGGTTCAAAACCTGGCTGTTCAAAGCTGATGATGCTTCAGAAGCAGGGCTTCTTCCAACTCTGTGCTCATCTGAGAGCCTGTATCAGGAGAGAACCCAGCCGAACGGTTTTATGAGGCAGAAAGCCAATCTTTCCCGATTACTCTTTTCTGTTCTTCACTGAACTCTCAGGACAAGCCCAGAAATAATCAAGAACTGCCTCTGCAGACTTTCAGACCCGAAGGCTCCGTTGGAGAAGCCGCTTCTCCTTCCGACTACGTCAGCCCCGCGGCCATGCCGGGTCAGGTCGGTCAGCGCCACACAAGGGCGGTGGAGCGCGGTGCTTCCCGGGGCGGGAAGTCGGAAAGTGCCGAAGCCGCTCGGGTTGGAACCGAAGGGCGCCGAGGCCGCTCGGGTCGGAGCCGAAGGGAGCCGAAGGGCGCCGAGGGCGCTCGGGCGGAGCGCTGCGGCCGGCGGGGGAGGGCAGCGCGGCGCAGCGCCCCCTGGCGGCGGCGCGGCGGGGGAGGCGCACGAGCGGAGCCGAGCCCGAGCCCGAGCCCGAGGAGCGGCGGCGGCCGGCGGCCGTTCTTGAGGGAAAGGGCGGCCGGAGAGCAGGTAACGTGGATCCTCGTCACCCCCGTCCCCGTACCCCGCCGCCCCCTGCTCCCCGCCGCCGCTACCCCGTGCAGGGCCAGGCCGCTCCGGAGCTGCGGGCCTGGGCTCGGGCCCGCCGCCTGTCAGCGCGGCCCGCCGCCCCTGGGAGCCTCCGGGCGCTGGCTCCGCTTCCAGCCGCGCCCGGGGAGCTTCTCCCGCGGGCTGCCCGGCCCCGTCGGAGCGCCGCGCTCCCCCTTTTGCTGCCTCGCCGCCCCGGAACGGCCCTGCGGATGCCCGGGGAGCGGGGCTGTTTCTCTTCCTGGGCAGGGAAGGGAGGTACCCGCAGCGTTTCCAGCGGCGCCGGGGCAGGCGTGCACAGGTCCTGGTGGCCGGCCCCTAAAATAAACGCGCTGCCGAGCCTCTCCTAAATACTTGTGGAAATATTCCACAACGGAAAACAAACCTCTGTTAACGCTCAGACCCTTTGAGAAACCGTCATACAGCATCCTGGTTTTCAAACTTACCCTATTTGCTATTGAATTAGACCATCATTTCTTTTTTTTACTCTTTAGGAGATGAGAACAGAGGGTGTATTCAGTTCTGCACATACCTTGCATGGGAGGAAAAGGGACAGATTAAAAAAAAAAATGCAGAGTGGCGTAGCATTAAGCTTATCATATAATCATAGAATATCCTGAGTTGGAAGGGACCATAAGGATCAAGTCCAACTCCTGGCACTGCACAGGTCTACCCAAAATTTTACATGTAGACCATGTGCCTAAGTGCACAGTCCAATCGCTGCATAAATTCAGACAGGCTTGGTGCAGTGACTGCTTCCCTGGGGAACCTGTTCCTCTCAGTGAAGAACCTGTTCCTGATGTCCAGCCTAAACTTCCCCTGCCTCAGCTTAACACTGTTCCTGCAGGTCCTGTCACTGGTGTTTACAGAGAATAGGTCACCTGCCTCTCCACTACCCCTCGCGAGGAAGTTGTAGACCACGATGAGGTCCCCCCTCAGCCTCCTCTTCTCCAGGCTGAACAGACCCAGTACCCTCAGCTGCTCCTCATATGTCTTCCCCTCTAGGCCCTTCACTAAGCTTATGCATGTTGAGATTTGTTTTTTCAAAATTATTAAACTGTAAATGTGTGACACCATCACACAAAGCCAGAAATCCGTGGTTTTGCTTATTTGATACCTCTTGCTTTCTCTTTGTAGGAATGGAGGGGGAAAAACTGATCTCTGCAACAGACACGCAGTATTCTAACGCGCTCCTTCAGTCTTTGAATGAACAACGTGGCCATGGACTTTTTTGTGATGTTACTGTCATTGTGGAGGACCGGAAATTTCGAGCTCACAGAAACATTCTTTCTGCCTCAAGCACATACTTTCACCAGCTTTTCTCAGTGGCAGGGCAAGTAGTTGAACTGAGCTTTGTAAGAGCCGAAATCTTTGCAGAAATACTTAACTATATGTATAGTTCCAAAATAATCTCTGTCCGATCTGACTTACTTGACGAATTGATTAAATCAGGGCAACTGTTGGGTGTTAAATTCATAGCCGATCTGTGCGTACCTCCTTCTGAAGGAAAAAGCACGTCAAACGAGGTGAAAGATGCTGCTTCAGAAACTTCAACTTCTAGCCCCACTCAAAAGGATGCTGAAACACAAGTACCTGCAATCAGGCAAGAGAGTGGGGATGTACTGGGGGGGATGCCGGTTATAACTGAATCGTTTTCCCTGCATGGAATATCATATGAGACTGCAAAAATAACAGTGAGCGACTCAGATGATGATGATGATGTCATTTTTTGCTCTGAGCTCGTTCCCCCAAAAGAATGTACTAAAGATACTAGTGCTGCAACCCACAACCAACCTTGCTCAAATGCAGCTGGAGTGTCTGACCAAAAATCATGTGGCAGTGGTGGCTCCCCACTATTGACTAGCCCCACAGCAACTCAAAAACTCTCTTCCTCTGCTAACCAGCTGAATCCAAAACAAATACAATCAAGTGCAGAATCCCTTGTCTCTGCAACACCACAGCATTTGACACCTGAGATTATTTTGCTGAATCGGCCTCCAGTGAATGCATCACCCACTGTTAGCTCCTCAAATCAAACACATGTGACCCCTACGATTAATTTGGTTGAGGAGAACCAGAAGCCATCTAACAACAGTTCCTCAGCTGAAACAGAAACAACTGCTGTTGATGATGTAGAAGAGGTGGTTGAAGATGACGACGATGTCATTAGCTCCTCTAGTCCTGGTTCAGTCAGCAGTAGCTCTTTGGTTCAGCAGCCTGCTGCATCCAAGACTGCAGCCTCTGAAGGATCAGGTGTACAGAAAAAACAGGTTGTTACGTTTTCACAAGAGCCATCTTCTAAGCCTGGAGAATTTAAAATAAAAATCTCAGATGTCCTTACTGGAAACAATAGGGAATTCAGTGCAGGCATTGCACCAAAACATGTGGTGGAAGGGCAGAAAATCATAACGTTAGATACAGCCACTGAAATAGAAGGCTTATCCACAGGCTGTAAGGTCTATGCAAACATTGGTGAGGACACCTATGACATAGTCATTCCTGTAAAGGATGATCCCGAAGAAGGAGAAGCCAAGCGTGATGAAACGCCCAAAACATCTGGTGATGATTCTCCAGGCAGGAAACGCATGAAAGTTAAGCATGATGACCACTACGAGCTGATAGTGGATGGAAGGGTCTACTACATCTGCATTGTATGTAAGAGATCATACGTGTGTCTGACGAGTTTACGGAGACATTTTAACGTTCATTCCTGGGAGAAGAAGTACCCATGCCGATACTGTGACAAGGTTTTCCCTCTCGCAGAATACCGTACGAAGCATGAAATCCACCACACTGGCGAGCGGAGGTACCAGTGCTTGACATGTGGCAAGTCTTTCATCAACTACCAAATCATGGCCTCGCACATAAGATCAGTTCATAGCCAAGACCCTTCTGGAGACACCAAGCTTTACCGATTGCATCCTTGCAGGTCTTTGCAGATCAGACAGTATGCGTACATTACGGATCGTTCAAGCAGCATACCAGTATTAAATGAGAATGGAATTGTTTATCGTGTTGACACAGGAAAGGAGGGCACCGAAGGAACAACATCGAATCCTCCAGCCAAACAAATGACCTGGGATGATATTTTCATTCCACAGGGAAACGAAGCAATTTTTAAACAAAATCAATCAGAGGGTAGCACTGAATTTGAGTTTGTAATACCAGAATCTTACTGAAATGCATGAAATGCTGGAAAAGGGCTTCAGTGCAGAAACACTGCAGCTGTTTTAAATGAACTGTTAAAATAATTGCAGAACAAATTGTTAAAGTGAAAACAAGTTAACTTGTTCTACCAAGTCACCAAATGGTAGCACTTAGATGGATCATTAGTAGCTGAAAGCAATTTGTGGAAGCAATTCATTGGAAAGTTTACTTGAATACAGATTAACACATTTTCAAGGAGCTAGCAGTGTTTGCTAGTATGTTAATTTTGATCAAATCGTGGGGATTCGTAGCTTGAAAAAGGTACAGTTTGTTCTAAAGAACTAGAGATCTAAAGTAATTTCTAAAGTAATTGATGTATTTCCTATACCCACACTTCTTATGTAAACCCTTTCTTTCATGGTAGAACTTCAATGCTGAACTGTGTTTAAACATTAACCAAGAAAACAGTAAAAGTATTCATCATAGTCTCTTGAATGTGGAACCATTTAAAAAAATAATCCCACAACTCATTTTATTTTTCTGAGCAATGCATTACTGCAAGGGTCCAGAGTTTTTTTGGTTTTGTTTTTTTTTTTTTTTGCTATCTGAAGGCTTTGAAATTTGCTTCTTAAAACTGAGAAATAACCCAAGTGCTGCGTCAGCTTAGCACTGAGACTGCAGAGGATATTGTATGTCTATTTGGCTAGATTTTTAATTTTAAAAATTTAAAAATTTTTAAATTAAAAACAATTTTTTTATTTTTTTCCCACTTATAGAATTAGTGTAACCATGTAAAAATGATGAACCAACAATCAAAAAATACCCCTCATCCCTCATAGTCCACAGTGTAATTCCTCTACAGCTGCCTAGTTGTTATCTGTTTTCAGTTTCAGGTTTGTTATATTGCCCCTTTTTTTCTCCTTGCACTTGGTACATTTTATGACTCCTAGGAGATGATCCAAGAAGTCCAGCCTGAACAGAAAACAGTAGATCTGAGGAAAACAACTGTTTACTGTAGTTTAGCACATCAGATTTAGTGACTTCTTGAATTTCTGTAAATGGTAATATGAAAACTGCACAGAAATTCTAGTGATGACTGACTGAGCAAGGTTGTTTTGCATAGTGCTAGTTAGTTATTGTAAACTTTCATTGCTTAAATTACAGCTAAAAGTTTTTCTTCTCCTGTTTCAGAGAAGCGTTTTGGTCCTACAACCTTCAAAGATTTTAGGCATCCGGTATTCCTGACAGAAAGATATTTAACTGATAAATGGTTCAAATACAACTGGAGCTATAAAAAAGGGTACCAGAAATGCATAACGATGGGAGAAAGAGAATGTTTACGTTTTTTGTGTAATACTCAATGCTTCTGTTTTGTAGGCCAAAAATTATATACGTGGTTATTTCCCAGATCATGTTGCGAATGCCTTTGAGTATAACAGGATATGCTTTCAAATGTTACAGGTTGGATGTAGTCTGAGATGGTATTGCAGCAGCCACATGTAATCCTCATAAGGAGTAAGTATTGATTGCTTGACGTAGCTGGCTGCATGCTGTGTAGAAATTTCATGAACTTTTGGTCATAAAAATGTGATCATTTTGTTGTTGACATGACACACAGAGAATTAAGGATACACTGAAAAGTGTGCGTTCAGTGATAAAAAATAATGGCTATCAATATTTGCTGCTGATATATTTAAACCTTAAATTAAACTGTGCCTACTGAAGGTCTCTCTTTGGAGGAAAACTGGAAAATTAGGGCTTTGTAACTGTATTTTTGCTAGAAGACTCGTGCTTGCATGTGTCTCAGGTTCTTCAGTTTTCCTTGGAAGTGATTTTTGATATCCAAAGTCCAGAGGTCATGTAGAGCATTTTTTAATTTTACTTCCAATATTTATTCATTTGGAAACATGTTAGATCCTTCCTCTTTAAACTTTATGGGGCCATGAGCTTTTATATTTAGATTTCTGGCTATTGCACTTATATTTGTTCATTTGTTTTTAAACATTTAACTTCCACTTTAACTTAATGAAAAACCTTATGTAAATATTAAGAAATTGGCTTTGGGGTAATGAGTGAAAAAGTTGGAATCTGAAAAAGCATTTATATAAAAATTAACAATTTCAACAGAGTGCTAGAAAACCTCACAGTCATTTATACACGTATAAAAACATTAACAGATCTGCTGCAAAATGTAATGATGGTGGTTACATCCTCACTGTATGGTTTCTTTGGAGATTCATCCTATAGCATTCCAGTATACGAATAAAATAAAAAACAAAAAAATCACCTGCTTATTTATTTTGTACTGTTAAGGCATGCAGCTTAGAAAAAGATGCAGAAGCTGACAACTATATACATTGAACATTGAGTTCTACACCTGTTACCTATGAACTGTTCCATGTGAAAAATCAATAATTTTTGCCAGATCTGTATATACTTGTATAGTCTTTCTTTAACATACTTTTTAAAGTTGTGTTCCACTTTTCATTAATCAATACTTGGTATTAGTTCTTAGAGCTTTCTATGGCAAAAAATAAAAAGTTTAATTCCAGAGATGTGTAGCATGTTTCATTTCAATCACAAATCAGCTTCTGCAATCTGACGTGGTTGATGGCTAATAGTTCGTACCATTCTTCTCCAGGTCTATGACAATAGCAGGAACCCTCCCTAGAGGTTGTTTTTGTTATTTTTATTTGAGGTTTTATTTGTTTTTCCTTTGATTAAGCACTTTACAAGAAAGCATTTTAGCTGAAACACTCCTCTGTATATTTTAAGCAGAATTTTGTTATATACGCTTACCCTCAGACCAGTAGAGTACTCTGTCCAACTATTAATGTGGTTGCAAATAACCTAGAAATCAAGAAAAATATATATAGTGACCAGCAAAATGCGTTTCAGCTAACTCAGTATTACGTCTTCTATTCTTAACTGGTTATCATATGGAATAGTTAGATTGCTATTGAATGCTGGCTAACATTGAGAAAATTACTTACTTTAGTTGAACTTAGCACAGATAAGGCATACAATTCAATGAGTAATATATAAAAACGATAGCTTAGATGTCTTTATGTACATGGCACACGTCTTCCATTTCTGCTAACATCAAATAGCAGTTGGTGTGTTCAGGACAGAATTAGGCCCAAATACAATAAACACAAAAGTACATGAAACTCTTAACTGGACGGATTATTCATCCATGTTAAGCAGAAATTTAGCAGCAATGACTTTACAGTGATTGAAATTAATGCATCCTGTTATGTGGGTAGGGCTGCAAAACTGACATGTGGGGATATCTGAGGCTTAACAAAACAGAACTTAATAATAAAACAAATCTCTGCCTACTCCTGGTAGAACCACCACTGATTTCCTAGTACAGCAAGTCCTGTTGTTTTGTGTTTTTGATTGTTCTTAAATACATGCTGTTAAACCAAATTCCTCAACTAGCATTAAAGGTGCTTGTGAAACAGGACCATTGCTGAAGTGTAAAATGCAAGTTATAAATGTTTACAAAAGTCACACAATTTTATTTAACTTTGGTAAAGTAATAAAAGGGTACATATGAGTCACAATTTTACATTCGCATAAGAAATGATGAATACAGTGCAGAATGTTGCATTTACATTAAACACTTAGTTTTACTCAAGCAGAAGGTAATGGGTAGTTCAACAGAAAAATCCAACCATTATTATTATTTTTTTTTAAATGTGACAATGGCCTTATCCTTTTACAGTGAATTTAAAGCAGCAATGTAATTTTTGCTTAAATATTCCTTAGAGTTCCTTATAAAACAAGAATTTGGATAATTTTCTAAGTTTAGTATATCTGTCAAGTTGAAACCAATGACACCATCATTTCTTTATTGTTTCTCTGCCACCAAGTTGTGCTCCCCTTATGAGTTTTCTTAGTCCTGTCCTGTGGTGTCCCCTAGTCCTTCTAGCCCTATTTAGTAGATAGGCACAAATGGTATAGTATGTTTGTTGAAAGTGGGACAGGACTGTTAGCTTCCATTTCAAAGATGCAGCAATAAAAAGTTTTCTGATATTAAATTTATGTGTCCTTCAAGTGATAGGTTTGTGGGGAGTTTTAGATACTGCCTATTTGGAAATTGCACATGAATCTCTTTAACAATATTTCGTTTTCGAAAACATAATATAAAATGGATGAAGCCCTAGTATGCAAATTTATTTTCAATATGCAAATTTACAGGGGCTGCACTTCAGCTACCTCAGTAAAACAAAATGTCACCAGGAAATGTTTTGCATACACTACTGCTTTAAATCCCAAGTGCTGTATTGCTTTCTCCAGCTATTTATTTTTATTTGTTGCTGGAGAAAAGGTACATGCTTGCTTCTGGATAAAAGGTGTCATCCTTTAACTTACTAATATACTGACTAGTGTTTGACAGTGGAATGATAAAGTTAACACACAGCTGAGCCTAAAGGCTTTGCAAATGCATAGTAGTAAAAACAGCATTATAAAGTGTGAGTGTACTTTGAAAAGTGAGATCAGGGACTTCAGCATTTATTCTCCATTTTGACAGTATTTCAGTTTTTTTTAGCTTAAAAGCAGAGAGATGCCACAGTTTAAATTCTAGCTGTTGTTTTCTTTCCCTAGCATGTATATCACTTCCAGATTCTGCATACAAGATTTAGCTTTCTGGTAGCTTTCTGTTTGCATTAAATTGAAGGTCATGTAGACAACTTAGGAATAGGATCAACAATTTGGTGCAAAGGAAATCAAATTTTTAGGAAATAAGGAATAAAATGTCAATACCGTATTTTTTTAACTCTGAAGCAAGCAGTTGAGAATGCTCAGGTTAAGCAGCTTAGATCTAAAAGCTGTCATCTGAGGTCACTTCCTGGAGTAGAACCACACTTTACAGGACATTGTATCACATAACAAAGCTGACCTTCTTTTGTTATGCAGGATGCATGCAAAATTTGTTGGAATCTAGATCAATCAGCACAGTCATCAGCTGAAGATTAAATGAAAGTCACGACAATAACTGTAAATTCGTATCAGCTTCATCCTATATTACATGGCGATGAATTTTATCCATGTGAGACTTACATCTTGGAGAACTAGTAGTGGAAATTCCTTATGTGCAGCCTGTAATACAGCTACTAAAACAGTGCTTATTCAGGGTGCTGATTCAACCCATTAAAAAAGTTGAAATTACAAGCTTAAAAAATAATTCCCAACCAAACAGAAGGAAAAAAAAAAAAGTTTTCACTGCATTGTAGTAACCCAAAATAAAACAGCTAATAAAGCCTATTAAAGTTTTTCCTGTCAAAAAAGCAATATTCCAGTTGTTCTGCTGGACAAATATGAAAATACCCTATGAAGTTACCTCTATTCATTAGTTTTAGTGTTAAGAGATGCTGTCATGGCTCCTCACAAGGATTTCCATTACATAGACTGTAATCAACAAGTGACATGAGCTAGGTTCAGTGGCCCCACAAAACCCCAACAACTGGAGACGAAAGACCAGACAAAACAAGCATCAAGCTGAGCTGTCTGCAAGCACTCTCACCTTGAACAGAAAGATATTCTTGGGCAGCTGTTGGTCCTGGCTACTCTTACTTCAGCTTGGCTCAAGATGGAGTAAGGCAGACCAGAATCTAGCATACGTGTCGTATCACTTTATTAAAAACCAAGGACTATATGAACCTCACTGGAAAATGAGGAGGCTAGAATTTAGGTCCCCTGGTACTCACCACCACTGCAAAACATTCACAATACATCCCTTTCCTCATGCCCCATTGATAAACCTCTGAAATAAGTCTTGCATGAAATAACAGTCTGATCAACTAGTCATATTTGCAATTATCTCCTGTTTCTATCCTCCTGCTTTCTCCCACAGTAAAATATAAATACAAAATGTTCACAATTATTTCAATGGCAAGTATTTCTTTCTTCTCTTCCACATTCTTTATGGCGTATAAGGTGGTGGCTTTTCAAAAGGTGGAAAATACGGTGGGGAGTAACGAGGAGGTGCATTGGAAGACCACATATAGCTGGGAGAAGGTGACACTGACTGGGGGTCATCGGAGAGGCCAGAAGGAGTGGAGGCTGGAAACACGCTGGAATGCTGCAGGGAAAAAGCAAGAAAGCTGTAACATTTCTAAATAAAGGACAATGGTAAAATAAGATTTAATTACCGAGCAGTGTAAGATTAATATTTCAAGACTCAATTCTGCAAAGCATGTGTACACGCAACTAAGCATTCAAATAACTCGTTGCACTCAAGGAAGCATTTAAGAATTTCTCTCTCATCACTTCTGCTGTGTACTTGCTTCTGTTTCACATAGCCGGAACAACTGAAAACTGATTAGTCTCTTTCACATCTTGGGGTTTCATACATGAACCAGTGGCAACAAAGAGGCTAGAGCTCATTTCTTCTTGTACTACTTTCATCACTAATTAAAAAAGAAAAAAAGCAACCAAAAAAATAATGGCAATAAGATAATGAAACTCTTCAGTAAATGCAAAGCTTCAGAAGGTTTTACACAGAAAAACTGCATGTGCCTGAAAATTAATTTCTGCTCTCCAAAATACCTTTGTTATCAAAAATACCTTAAGCCTGAAGTCATATGATGTTGGCACTGTGATTGACCTGTGAACATGCTGTGTTCTGTTCACAAATAGCCAGACAAATTATCTCTGAATAGGTAATGAAATACTGTCACCTACATCGGCTTCTGCGCCACCAATACGCTTTATCTTTATCCCTGGCAATCATATTCCCAAGCTGCACCTTGTGTTACCATTTGCCACCTGGCCCATCCTAAGGAGGCACTCGTAGGGCAGCCTGGGGTAGGGATGGGGTCACGCTATCAGTACACTGCGTTTCTGAAATAGAGCACGTTCCTGCTTTGGTACCGAGCAGCAAGCACCCTCAGGCTGGCTCATCCCTTGGGCTGCAGGCAGGCACTGCTCACACAGAGCCAGTGTGACAAAAGGTGTGCAAGGAGAGGATTTGTACAGCACTGCTGAGGGATCAGCACTGGAGCAGGGCACTCACACCTTGCAAGGCTGAGCTGCAGACAACGTTCAAGGTCAGATTTTATCCTGGTGGGGGCAAGGATGACTGACTGTGGGGATAATAAATTGTTTTCAAACAGCTTCTTTTTTTTTTTTTTTTTAATGCTTACTTACTAAATCACTTACCTAAAACTGACCTGTGACTGTTTATTGAGTAGATACATAACCCATGAAAGCCCAGCTTGGTCAGCTAGGTGGCCACAGAAAGCCATACAGCTCATTCTCATTTTAAATAACACAGCAGCCCCCATCAGTGGCAGCCCCCAGCCTACAGAGCCACTTATTTGTAAGGACACTGCTGCAGCAGCACAGCATGGACACCGTTGAGCAAAGGCAGCCTTGGGTTTCAAACACTACAAAGCATCTGAGTGCTGCTGCCTGGCAACAGCCCGAGGCTTTGAGGAGAGCCGCCTTTGTTGCAGCTGCAGAGCCGGCCTGGCTTGCTCCAGCTTCAGGCAGCAAACTGGTTTTATTAACGAAGCCAGCACTAATACCTCTCTTTCGAAAGGGGATAAGAGGCAGAGCATGCTGCTGCTGGGGTGAAATGAACCATTCATCTGTGTCCTCTTGCAGAAGGCAAAATGTTGCAGGACTGAGATGTGCTCAGCTAACTGCCCCCTGGCCACCAGACCATGCAAAGGGAGGAATAACATACAGGCTGCCACCCTCACCAGAACAGCTTCCTCCTGTCCACTTCCTGTCTCAGCATATTGTAAACACTTTGGCACCACAAAGAGCCTGCTCTCCTGGGGGATGTTGCTTCCTGTGGTGAGAACTAGTAACTGCCAACATCCATTGGCAAACCAGAGCACCAGTTCTGCTGTCTTACATTGTGTGGGGAAGCAAAGATGCTGCAGGGGCACAAACTTCCTTACAGACTTTGGAGTGGCATTTTTTTTTTCCTTTTTCTTTTCCTTGGGAAAGAGGTCACTTATACTGGGAAGTACTGCCCTAGCCCATTTTGGCACCAGAATTTTTGCAGCCTTTGACAGGGCGTTGAGGAGTGAGGTTGCGCAGGGGAGAAGGTGTCTGTGTGGTAAAGACACTGCTCAGATCAGAGAAGATAAAGAGCCTCCACAACCAGAGCCCTCAGCTAATGCTTTCCCGCAGGCTCTCACATTTCCTTGAGGACAAGAAAGGCTCACACTTAGAACTGCATCTGAAAGCAAGACTTGGATTACCTTAATTTACAACCAGCTTTTGTTGGCCAGCTCCTAAGCCAACACCTGTGCTACCACAGCAGTGAGAAACAAGGGCTTTCATCTGCTGGCTGAGATGTAAATGTTAGGAGAGCCCCAGCAGTACTTTTAGTTGAAAAGCAGGGCAAATCAACCCATGCTGAGCTCACTGCTGGTGCAGTGGCAGTACAGACAAGCACAGAGTTAAACAGTGTTTATTATCAGCTAAGTGTCTGACAAATGGACTTCACAGAAGAGCTTTTTAAGATATATGCTGAGGTTGGCATCTCTGTAACAGGAAAAAGTTATACAACACTGCTGAGTGTCCCAGGTTGTGCTAATCTCAAAAAACAAGTCACAAATCTGTATACATAAGTCTTAGAATTTCTGATGTTCAAGTATCTCTACGAAATTCCAACAACAGTGTTGTCCAGTGGCACTAGCAATAAAAACAGAAAGGTTTGGATGCAAGGCACATTTAGTGCATGGGTCTGATGGGGGAGATTGTGGCTACTGCAGACCACAATCTCTTAGCTGATGTCTAAGAAATTGAGCTCTTGTTAATTAAAAAAAAGTCTCCTGCCATGATGGTTGCCAAGAAAATGTATGATGTTAAATTAACATCACCACTCTGGTAATATCCACCTGAAAGAAGTACTGATGTTGAAGCAGATACAGAAATTCCCACAAGGTAAAAACCAATGCTGACAGCAAGGTTCAAGTGAAATCACAGGTCCGTAACTCAGAAGAGACAGGGATTGCAGTAGCAGTGGTGTTTGCAGGGACTGCTCTTAGACCCAGCTGAAGTGTGTGGGAAAAACAGAAGAGGTTTTCAGTTGGTATACCAGGAGCTCAAACAGCTCATTTCCAAAAGCTCATCTGTTTCTCTCGGGCACAGCAGTTGGCCTAATAAAAACAAACAAACCAAAAAAAAATCACCAGAACATCTTGCTTTGCCTCTATCCTCAGAGCATCACAGATGCCAGAGGCAATGACCATTTTTAATGTGGCCTCTGCTGGTGAAGGACAGGGGAAGCAGGCAGCATGTCCTGTTGCCTTCTCTTCAAGGAGAAGCTTTCAGGAAAACCTTGTCTTAGTCAGAAAGAGTGCTGCCAAGGAGCAGTGGCTAGTAGGAAAGGCCTGGTGTTCTCTGTATGAACAGGAAAATTAAACCGTGTAAATGACAGGAAGACAGGTTTCCAGAGTCCTGCAGACTGGGCTATATTTAACTTTCTAACTAAACAAGGAAACATCCTGTAATGTTCTGTACCTGAAAGTCATATGCCGAGTAGGGAGGCAGGTGAGGAGTGCTGTGGTAGTAGGTGTTGTAAGATGTCACCTGTGGCCTCGAGTAATAGGACACCGTAGGATGTGCATTTTCAACTGTGCAGTTCAGCGTAGGGATGGAAGGAGTCTGTTAAAACAAAGAAAGAATCTCAACTGCTAACCAGGACATCTTCAGAGTCACCAAAAACTGACAGCTGAATGAAAACAGAAATGATTTAAAGGAGCAAAGTGTCTCCCTAGAGCTCGATTCTGCTGAATCAGAAACTAGCAATCTATTTCCCTCTTAGGCAGCAGGCAAGTCTTGAGGTCATTTCATTCTTTACCAATCCATTGTTTCCTTTAGATTCCCCAGAACAAGCCTGGCAATAGCCCAGTGCATGTTAGTATTCAAACAAAGTGACTGCTCAGACTGTTTCTCCTATTTGTGAAGATGCGAAGTGTTAATTTTGATTACTCTATTACTCAGTGCATTTTGAGATCGGCGTATTTCAAATCCTCTTGTGCTGCTGTTCACAGAGACTTCCATACATCTTTTTGCAGTGGTTTACAGGCTGTCTGGTGTGGGTCAGAAGACTGTAACACACAGCTGAGAATGTATCTCAAGATTTGTTTGGGAAGATTTTAGTGCGTCTGAAAACAGAGTAGGAAAGTTCAGAATTTTGAAATAAGGCACCCCTGATGAAGGGCCCAAGATTTGTTTGTAAGAAAAATATATTGACAAGACAAAAAATGTTCTTTTCTGCATGTCTCATTTTGTATTATTCCAAATGAGTCATAAGAGACTGAACTATATGTATGTATTGAATGTTCAGTTCTCCCCATTGATTTGTTCTCGTCAAAACAAAACTGTACGGGACGTGACAAGCAACCTGGCTGAGTGAGGGTACTTCAAAGCTTGTGCTGCCAGAACAGCATTTTTTTCCACTCTATGAAGTTTGCACTCTCTTGCCTGGCTTTGGTCCTAACCTCACCTTCTCAGATTCTGCAACATGAAGAAACTATATGGAGAGTTTCAGCCTAGCAGGGCTGCGTAAATATTCTGTAAAGCTCAGAACTCTACTATTGCTATAAAATCAACAATTCGAGAGCAACAACCACACATTTCCTTGTAGAAGGTCAGTGCTATGAAAAGAAATATCATTTTTAAATAAAAAGTTGATTTTTATTCATCCTGGTATTGCCAACACTTCCGAGAAAGTTCCTTTTGAAAATAAAATCCCTATTTCTTTTCATCTTTTCTAATTGTGTTCAGGCAGTGACACCAGATCAGAAAAGTTGATCGTTTTTACTTTCTCCTTAGAATTATTTCATGTCCTTCTTTCTGGCCTGATGGCAGTGATGCATAGATCATTTGCACTGAAATATCAATAGCTGTTTCCATGCTTATTTTAAAAAGGCAATTCGTCTGATTTGCACAGGAATTGGTACCATCTTACCATGTCTTTAAAGCCTCCAAGTATCGCTGCTGTAATGATCCCTAGGAATAGCCCCACTATGTTCAGAATTGTTGCCGACCAAAGCAAGTGGTAAAGATGGATGATGTCCTGACAGCTGCTGACATCAATGTATTCATAGTAGCCTCCAGAAATCTCTACTCTGCTGGATTAGGAAAAAAAAATACCACAGTAAAACAAAAATGATTAAAAAAAACACACCACACAATAAAACCTAAGCTCTTCACTGGGCAAGTAAAACACATCCTGCAATTTAACGATTGCCTGGACATAACCACCAAGATGAGAGTGAGGGTAAAGCCTTCTAGATCCCATTCTTGTAGCATCTAAGATCTCCCTGCATGATACTGGCAGCAGAGATGGCTTGATATGCTGTGAAACAAACAAGTCCTACAAGACCTACTAATATCAAAATGCCCTTGAGTCTGAACCTGCCTCTTATTTCCATCAATTGAAATCTCCAGAGCCAGCCCTTCATGCTGGTGGCTTCCCAAGGACATACCAGTCCTGGAATCAGTAGGGAAACCAGCCTCCTTCCCCTATTACTCACTTCCAGTTTCTTCTTTTCCTTTTTCTTGTTGTAGTGGGCCACTGCAGAAGAGATTGCAATGAGGAGATGATTTCAAGCAGAATCGAGGCAGAGGTTAACCACTGGCCTTGGCTGTGAAGTGCCTGAACAACCTGAACTAGAGAAAGCACATACCATGACTGCCTTTAACAACACAACCTGTACTTACTGCTTGTACAAGCTTGTTCCTATGGAGATGCATAAGAGCATAATGTTCCCAGTGAACCCTGGTACACCATCAAGAACATTCAGCACTGCACAGACTTTAAAGAATACTATAATGACGTGAAAAACCATGAAGCTGCTGAATCTCACCAGGGATGGCAACCCTGCACAACATTCGATATGAAGGGGCTCATACAATACTGCTGCTTCCAGCATTCCTGGCATCACAAAGGATGTAAAATTGCCTCGCTTTTTCAGTAATTCCCATCCTTTACATAATAAACATGCTAACCAGCCTTTGGTGTCCGTGCCTGAGATCCCAAAAGAACCAGCATCTCCACAGTGCAATGCACTTATGGGGCACCAAGCAAGATTAAGATCATAACAACTGGTACAAAATAAGGGAAAATGGGTCCAAGGCAGAACCCTGAACCAGCCTGGCTGGGGAAAAAAAATAAAACAGAAAAAAACACCCATTAATACAGAACAGTTACAAATTTTTCTGTTCCAGTCACTCCTAGGTGTATCATTCCCTTCAGTTAGTAAAAAGCAATCATGTTCTTTAAATGCTCACACAGAAATGATGTACTACTGAGACCAGGGATTACCCTTCCCAGCACACCAAGCCACCCTCTTCCAACAGCATCTTTTGATCTCCCTCCACAGTCAATGATTTACGTGGGGGCCAGCTCAGTTAAGTATGATAAGAAACATTACCCCTGAAACAGCCTGAGGCAAGAGCCAGAACTAAAAAAAACATTTTTTTCTCAGCTGACACACACTAGACACCCCAAATGACATAAGAACTGCATGCTCCATGGTTAGCTTAGGCACAGCAGCCAGATCAAACAATGGTGCGATCACTGTGTGAGGGTGCTCTATTGCTAACCACCCTTCTGACTCAGCCTTGCACACTGCTGGTGCGCTTTCCACTCTTGTAACCATAGGAAATATTCACTGGACAAAGAGGGCACTGATTTATGAACACGCAGGTGGCACTAGTTTGTGAACTCTCCTCCCTGTTACTAGGATGGGAAACAAAACAGAGAGGAAGGCAAGGAAGAACAATGTCACAACCTTTATCTACTAAAATAAAATAAAACTCAATGAACAAGTGGTACCCACAGGTGTCAGGACAAAGGACACTCAACAGTGGGAAAAAAAAAGGGCAAGGCACCAGGAATGGAAGTAATGGGACATTACACCCATAATGAGAAGTAACACCCATTTTTCCAGCTGGACTGGCGTGGGGTATGCTTATGTGTAGCTGGTGTAGATTTAGTATACTTCATATACCCCTTCACTCTCTTTCTGACTGGGAGTCCTTATGGGAAGCAACCACAGCTTCAGTTCCCTTCCTACAACAGCTGTCATTAACCAAAACTTTGCTCCTGCCTTATCCTGGCCCTTTAGACACCTGCAAAACAGCGTGACCACTGCTCACTCTGCCCATGACAGGAATGGTTGTTTTTTTTTCCTGCTTACTCACTTCCCACAGTTGTACAGGTCACAACAGAAGCAGGTGTTGGTTTTTATTTTCGGTGTGCAGGGTGCACGGCGTTGCGGATGACAGATTGCCTGTGTGAATCCAGAAGAAATATGTAAGGCACATGAGGATACAATCACCAAACACAAATTCCACTGCCATTTGGCCTGCTCTACATGTAGGTTTTGCACTGATCCCAGTATGAGCCCCAGGCAGATTTTTCTTCCCTTATCTTGCAGCACAGCTCTCACAAAGTAGGCAGGCTGCAATAAAGACATACATGACTAGAACAGGCCAGGCTTTCCTTCCACCATGGGGAAGTCACAGATAAGCACGCGTCTGCATAGGAAGGGAGTTGTGTAACTCTTGCAAAGAGATAAGACCCTGCTGAACTAACACTCTTCCCCAGATGGCAATGTAGAGCAAAGAATTGTCAAGAGACTGACGTTATCAGGGAAAGATTCCAGTACCGGCAAATAACTGAGCAAAGGGGTCAATTGGCTGCCTGTGGGTGCTAACACCTAAGTTCACATGGATGGTCTTTGGGCCAAAAAGGACACCACCAATGCCACTGGGTGGCACTTTATTTGCACCTGCAGCAGGCATTTTTATGTGGAATGTAGTGGTTATTCACAGCTACTCAGATATCACAGCTACTCAGACACTTGGGAGGAAACCTTAGAGGAAAAGAAGCCAAGGGTGTCCCATACACACTGTCACTGTGTGGCAGGAACACCCATCCCCAGCAGGCTTCTCTCTGGAGAAGACACAAGCAGAGGTGCAGAGGAAGGTACATTTTGTTCACATCCACAGAAGTTACTGCTGTCTGGACTCTTAATCCACACCCTGTTCCTGTAATGAATGTGCAGCTGAAGATTTAAAGAAATCAGTGTATTTTCCTCTCCCACCTCCTCCTTTCTTAACTACTTCTCTGCTAGCACAGCACCAATCATGGAGAAAGGCATTCCCGGCCTCCCAGCCGCTCCGCAGAGCTCCGAAGATGGCAGCAGCAGCCTGCCAGGAGGTTTCTCCACCTGCAAGATGAAGCCACCCCTGCAAGGAGACAGCACAGCCACAGCTGTTCTCACCTCTGGCAGCGTGGTACTCTTGGAGTAGTACTGGCATCGTCCCGCATACAGCGGCCGCAGGTCCTGCCGATGGAAAAGCACCAGAATTAGCACCACAATAAAACCAAAATCTGCTGCCCAGCTGGGCTGGGGAAGCAGGCCAGGCCTTGGAGAGGTTCCTGCCTCAGGACCCACCCACAGCAGCCCCTCCTGACCCCCAGATAGATTTTAGCTCTGGTCCTTTGAGGCACATATATGTGGCAGCTGAAGTGGAAGTGGCGGGCTCTTAAGCCAGCCTCACCTGGGTGAGGGCAGCCACCCTGAGCTGAATTATCCATTCCTCATTTTCCCAGACGCATCCCAGGGATGCCTGAACCCACAGAGAAAGCAATGCCAAATTTCCCTTTGGGGCAGGGAGGGTGGTGGCAACTGCTTTGCCTTGTGCATGCCGGCTGATACGCTGTAGGGACAAACCCATGCCCAGGACCCTCCCTGCGGGCAGCTGGGCCCACTCTCCGGGTGTCACCCAGCACACCCAGTGGAAGGGCCACAGTGGGAACGCTATGTGCTCGGGTGGCAGGAGCATGTCTCTGGCCAGACAGTGACATTCTTGCATGGTTAGAGGAGGCCAAAAGCACACCCGTTAATCAAGAGACAGAAACCAGAGCCCTCGTCACCCCAGCCATGCGGTCCCTGCTGCAGACGCGCAGGCATCCCAGCAACTGGCAGGACCAAGTGCCAGCTCCCAGCCCACGAGGTCAGTGCCCCAAATCACGCAGCTGGCCTGTGGGCTCAGGCTCCAGAGGCTCTATCAAAGCTTCACGAACCCCTGAGAGAGGGTAGAGGTAGTCAAGAGTTGCTCCTCACATCCCGACAGACTGAGACCTATCGCTGCCCTGTGCTCTACCAGCAAATCCTGCCATCCCAAAGTTTCTCTACCGCTCGGATGCTCAGAGGCAGAAAGGGGAGTCTGTGTTACAAGGCAGAATAAAGAGCCAGCTGACATGCAGAGTTTCCATTTCATGGTAACTGTGACAGTCTGAAATCGCTTCCCACTCTGATTGCAAATAAATTCTAAGCATGTCTTTTTAATCCCATTTTGCCAAAAATTAAAACCAAACAAAAACAAAATCATCAAATATCAAAGTTGCAGGAAAAAAAAATGCTTGCAGTAATAAATTTCAATTTAAAACTTCAAATGAAATCAAGTGTTTGTTTTTTTTATATCCTAACAGCTGAAGTTTTTGCAGTTTTTTTATACTAGTGATTGGTCATGCCAGCAGCAGCTCATATTGTTTTTTAAGTCATCAAATGTAAACTTAGAGCCCAGTGAGTGCTTCCTGTTTGTACTGCACCCCCTCAGTGAGCTTTGTATCAAATTGTATCCCTCTACTAGAACATACACTGATACAATCATCATTAGGAATGACCACTACAAGCATGTAAAATAAGACTGATGCTACCGCTCATATGTTATCACTTGGCACTAGCTGTAATTCACATTATGCCTTATACATTTCAGTCTCAGTAAGCACACGAAGCACAAAAGAACTAAAGCAAAGTTTCCAGGTCTTAATGTTTAATGTGCGTTTAAAAATATTTTTTTGTAAAGCCAACACGTTTTTCTGAATTTTGTAATTTAAACCAGCATTCAGCATCTGACGTGTATTTACAGAGCTCGATGCAGTCTGATGTGGCGTGTGGACACATCACCTCTTTTCCTCAAGTAAAAGGATGGCAGGCCCCATGTTTTCCTGGAAGCACTTACTATGTGTCTGGCAGCAAAGACGCCATCTACTATGGCACAGCAGAATGCAGCAATGACACCAAAGCTGATGAAGACGATCGATGCAACCAGCTGAGAAAGGAAAACAAAGCAAAGTATGATCTGCCTTGCCACAACCAAATGCTGCATGCCCCCTCCACAACAATACAGAAACCACAGCCACTAAGGCCTTGAGCAATCAATGACCCAAATGTTTGCCCAGGCTGCACAGACTGGTCTTATTGAAGTCAATGGGATGTGTGTCTCAGAGGAGAGCCTGTTATGCAGAGGTAGAGGCAACATAGCAGGAGCAGCAGTGCCAGACAGGTTCTCTGGGGACATGATATTGTAATGCAAGTTCTTCCGTGACATCAAAGTGCTAAGCTTTGGCTGGGGATACACCTCCTCTTCTGGCTGCTGCTGTCTTTAACTCTTCCCTGCAGAGAAAGGAGGGATTTCTTCTCCCCCACCACAAAGAGCTGCAGGCAAGGTGCTCCTGTGAACAACCCTCAGGCCATTTCATCCCACAGTGGCTTCTGCTGAAGCCAGCAAAGGCCACAAGACCTCAGTGACTGTGCTGGCTGGCACAACGAAGAAGGCTGCAACTTCTTCAGCTGGCAAGGAGAGGTGTGTGCACTGCCTCTGTACCCTGTGCCAGGTGAGTGCCAGAACAGCCCACTCTGGCTTGGAGGGGCTGCAAGGAGTCAGCCACGGCCATGTCGTACCCCGTATTGTGTTGGGATGGAGAGACACTGAGCAGGGAGACCACCAAAAGCAGGGGGGCACCAAGGGGCAAGACAAACATTTTGTCAGTATTAGTATTTGCCCACTGGACTAAGCAGCCTACCAGACAGGTTCACATACTTGAGAACGGCAGCATTTCCATTTAAAGAACTGAAAGCTTTGGTGAGTATTTCCCCAGGGAGTTTTCACTCCAGAGGTTGTAGTCTTCAAGTGCTGCTTGCTAAAAGCTGCTTCTCCACAAGTACAGAGGTGATTCTGGTAATTAGGAGCTCTGAGCAACATTAAAAAATGATTAATAATACACATGCAAAAGTAACAACTATCCTGGCCAGCACTGACAAATACCTCAGGTCTCTGGGCATGGATGTTTTAAAGCCTAGCTGTTAAGTAATACTTGAAAAACTCAGTTCTTGGCACTGCTTAAGGAGCCAGTTCTCGGGAGGACAAACCAAAACCTTTGACAAACACAAGCCAGAAAGGATCCTATATGTATTTTTTAAGTAGCTTGGAATTTTCAGGTAAGTCACACTAGTTTTATTCTGTGAAAACAGTGCCAACAAAGAGCAGACATCCCTACTTTTCTTCCACTGTTGCAGCCTCTCCAGCCAGTCATTTGCTGATCCTGAAGGAAGAGGAGTCATTTCTCTTTCTCAAACACCTTTTCTGTCTCCTGGAGTCTGAAGCGGTTTTCAGGGAGACCACAAAAATCCCCAAAGGCCTGAGGGCAGGCAGGATGTCCCCTCCCTGCCCAAGCTGGAAAACAGCCACCACCCAAGAACCTGAACAGAACAAGACAATGTGGAATCCACATGCGGTCATACATTCCAAATCAAGGAAAAAAATATAGGGATAGAGAGATGTATGTGCTTTTACTAAACCTCTAATAATTCCTCAGCAAATTATCAGTAAAAGTTTAACCTTGCTGAAACCCTGAAAGACTCCTATTGTCTTGGCCTCCAACCCAGACCTTCAAACAATCCTATTTCTTCCCCAGCCAAATGGGATGAGACATCATCCTGGACACATGAGCAAGCTTCTAAGACTTGCACTGTCCCACTGCAAAGATAAACTGTGGTGGTAGGCAGAGAAGACTAAGATTAATCCAATTGCTGTAAAAACAAGTCACTGTCACCAGTAACAAGCTGCTGCTGGAATTAGATGCCCCAACAAGCCTGCCGATGGTAGCAAGCGACAAGTTTTCCAGGGTCAGGACCCCATTTCTGTTTGCTGTAAACACCAGCAATTCCTCCCCATTTGGACCCGCTCCATCTCCACAGCTGAAGCACAACTTGGACCATCACTTACAACGGTCACACTCCTCTGACCTACACAGTGAGAGCACAAAATGGGGGAAACCACAGCTTCATACAATCTTGGTGGAAGGAATGTTTTTTATGGCTTACATTATTCTGTAGTAAGTTTCCCTATGTACTTTCCTTCATTGCATGCACACACAAAGGAAGATGTTCTCCCTAAAAAGCACAAGCACTGGAGATGGGAAGTGAGCCAAAACCTAAGTATATATATACAATTGGGTTATTTGTCTGTTGGCCCCGCTCTTGTAGACAGGAGCTGTTAACATGGTTATTTCAAATGACACAAGGTTAATGATGAGACTTTCGTAACAGCCCCACTAGGATCTGAGTGAGGATCTGATGTCAGAAATAGGTTTGCTAACTTTACATACCCCCAGATTTCCTCTCTGAGCTGTAGAAAAAGAAGCCTGAAAAACAAACACTGAGAATTTATGAGAAAGATAATAAAATGGCAAATTAATGTATAAAAAGGCATTTTAAAAATCACATTGTTTTCAACTAATCTTATGATTTGTCAAGAAGATTTTGATTCAGAATCAACAATACTGTTACTATAACAAGAAAAAGATATTGGTTCTTCAGGTAGCTGCCACTGATGTCAGTTACATGGAGCCGAACTAGGACTAGAAAAGACAAACTGGTTTTGGATAAAGTAGGAACTATAAAATAGGAGCTTTCTGGTCAGAAGTCTCCTTCAGGCCACATCCCAGTGATACACAGGCTGCAAAGCTGCTGACAACTCCTTTTGCATGGCATGGGTGACTGTAAGAAAGCGGCACAAAATGCTGACTCCTCATTTGAAAGCCGCTGCCCTCAAGGAACAAACTCTGCTGAAAGCTCTCCACTGCTCTGACAAGCCACATGGCAGGGAAGTCAGCATGACAAGGTGGGAGAAATGAGAGACATCTATTTCTGCCAGCAGGCAGGACAGAATTAAGTTTCAGGTTAGTTCTCCCTTTGGCCAGGTTGGCACACTCGACTCCTCATGCCCCCCTAGCCAGCTCATGGGAAGAAACATGCACAGGAACACGGCTATAGAAGTTGCTTTTAGCTCGTCCTGCCCTACTGAGGAGAGATTGAGTAACGAGCAATGCAGACAGCCTTCTAGTAAATTAGGACACGAAGGAAGTCCATAAAAAAATAAAATCATCTTGCACTGGCAGTGGTATTAAGGAAACACATAATTGGCTCAAGTGCCACTGTAAAATTAAGTGCCCCAGGGTAAAGAGGAAACATGAATAAAGTATGGGGACAATGAGTGGCAGCAACTCTGTGTCCTCTGCAGTCAGAGGAGGCTCATGTTAGCCTGCAAACCCAGGTGGCAGTGATGCAATCCTTGCAAAGCTGGGTCACGCATGCTTTTTAGGACACAAAATGACAGAGAAATGAAAAGAACAGACACCGGCTACCCGGGGCTCTTTGGAATAAACAACCAAGCCAGGTCAGAGCCACACTGTCATTTATGAGCAGCCCTGCAAACATGGCATCGGTGTAATATGATGCTTGCTCAACCAGGCTCTGATCTGCTGCTAATAGACGATGAGCACGGGGCTTGGAAAGCTGCAAGGACAGAAGGAGCAGGACATGTTGCTCTCGCATAGCTGGAGCAAAAACAACAAATAGCCATCAGGAAACCCACCTACCCTGAGCCCTGTGGAAAAGGAAGGTTTCCTTTCCTGCAGGGCCTGTCCCACCCTCTCCCTGCTGCCAGGGCTGTGCTCTGGGGGGAGGACACTGCTTGCAAAGCAAAGGGGAGCCCAGCCTCTGACTTTGCACAAGCAGGAATTTCTCCAGATCCCCTTCTGCCTTTGTCAGCAGCACATGGTGCTAAGCAAGTCCACAGGCCTCTCTGCAGAGGCAGCACCATCACTGCAGAAGCACGCAGTGGTGGTGGGCAAGCAGGATGGGCAGCTGCAGCATGGTCCCCCCATGCCACCTCACATGAGGAAAGCTGGAAAGACCTCACTGCCAGGGCCTGGGGCAGCCATTGAGAGGGACACTGCAGCTGCTGACACCTCCAAGCACCTCCAGGCACAGGTGGGAAGAGGAGGAGGTTGCGAAACAGAGCCTGCAAGACACCCTTAGGGGACATGAGAGACCCAGCCAAGACAGGCCTTTCTGCTGGGCTCTCCAGAGGCTTTTACATCCAGTCTCTGGGTTGGCTGTTTTACCATCTTCCTCTCTATCCTTTGCTTAGAATAGAAAGCCACCAAAAGCAATTTTTGCAGAGCTTCAAGTCTCTAGGAATTTATTTTAAAAGATTTAAAATAACTATATTGTACCTAAACTATTTCTATTCTGTGCCACATACTGTGACAGCCCAAATGAAAAAGCGCTGGGAGTGAGTCTACGAAGCATCAAGTATCCTGAAAACACCAAACACTATTTTGAGCCCTTGAAAAATCCCACTGAGTTCAATGAGACTGTGTATAGTTACTCTGTGCTTCCTCAAGCATTTTTGAAAATTTAAAAAAGTATCTGGGTTAACAGCCATGGGCTGCCAAGAACCATCCACAGCTCTCAAGAGGCATGCATCTCTAGCCTGGAAGGGTCAGGAAAGCTAGCAACAGTCTTTACATACAAAATTCAAGTTGCTCTCACTTTTTTTTTTTCTTGAAAGTCTACGTAGTGAACTTACCATTTGCCTTTTGTTTTCTATCAAGTTTGATCCAATTATTCCAAGAAACGACCCAAAACCAAGCTGAAAGACAACATATTGTTAGCATTTAGATCAGGAAGACACCCAACATATTTCACATACAGAGCACAATTAAATCCAGAAGCAGCAAAAGAACACATTGATGCGTGAGCACTCTTCCCTCAGCATGAAAATCAATGGAGTCTGTCATTAGCTAAAACGGTCAAGGGTACCCCTCATGTGACACTAAAAGGTGTGTAAAAACCAAAAGGATGAATTCTGACCTCAATCCCCTCCCTGGTGATGCTGAGAAATGGGTGGTGGATGAGCATGTGCACTGCCGTCTTGGAACAACCCTGTCAACATTCAGCAGTCCTCAGATGCAAACCTAGCAGGACATCACTAGCATTTGCAGGACCAGGCTCTAGTAACCTCACCAAGGATGTGAGCTGTCACCTAAGTTTTCAGCTCAGAGTTCCTTGATGTGAAGCATGAAATAAGGGAGAGCTCATACTCACGAAGACTCAGCAGTTTCTCTCCACCTGCTACCCCTCCCTCACTTCCAGAGGTGAAGTGTTATCAGCCAGTGTCCTTCTTTCACCAAAAGAACCCACAGCAGCCCAGCCAACAGAATGAGCTACTCCGGCAAAAGTGTATTTTCTTGCTGCTGTAACTGACAACCCTGTTTTTATTTCAGCTCAGTGAAGTCAGTTAGGAGTGACTGCACTGACCTTTCTCTAAAGCCTTAAGCTATTTAATTACACTAAAGAAGTTTCTAGGACACAGTATGCCTCAACCAAGCTACAAACAGGGAACTGAGGACTAGAGGGGAAGATCTAGACGTACTTCTGTAAGGGTCATAACTAGAAAGGTCTTTGATCAGTGCGTAGCACACACAACCCCACTACTTTTGGTCGGCAAAGAGAAATGCTCAGAAGTCCTATAGCTGCCATTGCTTGTACTCAGCAGGCTACAAATCCATTCAGTAGATGAGGGGGGGCAGTGAAGATCTGGGTGAGAAAGCTAAATAACTGGCCATCTCCTAAGGAAGCAAAGCAAGGCACAAAACAAGCTGCAGTGGCTCAAGAATGGGTCAAGCAGCCTGAAATCAATATTTTAAGATCCAGGAATGGAAAGGAATGGTTTAACAAAACCGGTATTAACAGACAGGCATAAGTAAAGATTAACCGGCAGAAAAGTGACAAAAAGTTGGTGCTAAAACTTACCCTGCTCTGCTTAAGCCCTGTAAAATTTGGTGCTGGTGCCAAAGGCAGCAAGGAGTGTTGAATCCAACAGCATGGGATTAAAGCAGAGCAGCTGACCTAGCTACTGCTTCCCCGCTGTCTGTGCTGCACTCTGAGCTCCCAGAGTGGACTCACATTGGGGTCCAAAGGAACTAGCCACCAAAGTGTGAAGCACAGCAGTGAGGGCAGGCACTAAAAGGGAAGAGAGCGAGGGCATGACTGAACTGCCACAAACAGATCTGCTGATGTTTCTGGGCTGATCTTTCATTATTTTATTCAGTTTGGGAAAACAAACCCCCCCAACTTTTCCATGTAAGAAGAGTCTTAAAATTCAATTTCAAGCCCCAAACCTGAGCGATCCAGGCATTAACAGTGACTTGGATCCAGGTAATATTTTCAGTCTGCTGATATTTAGCAGCAAAGAGGATGTCTGGCAATACACACCTAAGGCAAACATTCAAGAAAACCCTTTTGTACCCTTTAAACTTGATCTGACACATTTAAGAGAAGCGCACATGGCATTTGAGAGCAGCCCCAAACCAAAATGTGAGAGACTTGAAATAATTTATGGTAATTAAAAACGAAGAAATCAGAGTGACTGAGTACATCCAATGGGCAAAGATCAAATAAATTGGTGGATTCTCAACCAGCGTTAATGGGAAAAACAGCAGTTCCTCATCAGAATCCTTAGTAATCTGCATTAATTGCATCACTGTTATTTGCTGGTGGGTAGGATCCCCTGGGGACGTCTGTCTGGAAGGAGGACAGGGTACAAATGAACGTGCTTTTCCAGAAGAATGCCCCTGGCCAACTTGCTTGACAAGGAGCCATTATAGAAAAGGTGTTTCACTCAGTGCCTAAGAAAGGTCAATCATTTACACTGATGCCAGAAGCTGTTATAACTTGGAGAGAGCATTTGTACCACATGGATGGCCTTTTACAAGGCAACACAGAGGAGAGGCTTCTGATAAGCCTTGTTCTGCCTTCACAGAGGCGCTGTCCCATTCCTCAATCCAGCTATCCTGCACAGAGCTGTGCCACATCCGGCTGCCTCTGCAGCTGCTGGACGCCCACTGTACAAAGTGGAAGAGCTCTTGGAGTTCATAGCTGAGAAGTCTTGAAGAACATTTTTCTTGAAGATTCACAAAAGAGATGGAAGGAACTTGTGAGTTATTACTTTAAGAAGATGCAGGATTTTTAAGCTAACCTCTCAGCCTATGATCCCTGCTCCCATAAGGGTGCTTGCCCTGTGTACCTGATGATTACTCCTGCTTGCTGAGTGTCACTGTTCTAGTCTGGGCTTCCCAGGCCCACATCAGTCAGCCAGCCACTATTTCCCATGGAGACACAGCTGAGGTGTTCACAGAAATAGCTGTGAAGGTACCAGTGGTTAGGGTGGCAGTGAAGGCAGCCTGGGTACCAGACACATCCTCGTGCCCTCTGCTTCAGCTCCTCCAGCTGTGTCAGTGAGGAACTGCTCTGTGAAAAAAACAAAATCCCACTGATGCATGGAAGGTCTCTAGTGCCTGTTTCAGTCCTTCCTCAGGAGCAGAGGCCTAGGAAGATGATTTCCCCACAGACAGACACTTCTTTCCATACCTGAGGCAGGCGATCCAAAGGAGGAGCATTAGGCCTGGGGGCTAGGAGGCACCCTGGCGGCCAAATGGCACAGTACAGGTCTACTTTTAGAGGAGCCAGTGCCAGCCAGGTGACAGTGACAGCACATATGTGGAGCCATCACACCCACCCAGATCACCACAGGGCTGCTCCACGATTACAGATGGAGCCTGCTGCTCCGTCTACTCGCATACATCAGGGCCCTAGGCTGAGGAGCACAAAGCTAGACCAAAACAGAGCTTTGGGGCTCTCTTTTCCTCGCTGACACAGCGTAACTGCACCAGCAGTGCGGTGGAGACACGTGGGCCTAACATCAGTGTGAAGCTGTGGGTGACATGACTTCTGTGGAGCCGCTACCTGTGGACATCATCTGCCCAGGGACACCTCACCAACACCCTCTCGGCACAGCAAAGGGAGAGATCCCATCTTGTTACAAAACATCAGCTATTTTAAGTACCTGCTGAAGCACCCAGCAGCAAACAGGAATGCTTTCCTGCTCGGGAGACCAGCGAGGTTGTTGTGCATTTCCACAGCTTAGTGGATTGAGAGTGGGAATTTGGTGACAGGCCTACAGACACAATCAGGGGGTCTCCAAATAAAGCGAGTGACTCAACACCCTTCTCAAGTCCAGGAATTCATGAAGCCCTTGAGCAGATCAAGTCTCACAAAAGATGTAAGCAGTGTTGACGTTGCCGAAGAATAAATAACAAGGTAGATGTCACAGGGACGCAAACACCAGGCTCCATCATCTGCGGCAGTCTGGGGGACCTGCTCTGAGGCACGAGGTCCAGCTTGGGCTGACAGCATAGGCTTAGCATGGAGAGCTGGAAGCCAGATCATCACCCTTCTCAACACCATGATAGTCCTCTTTTAAAAACTCGATAGTCCTCTTTTAAAAATATCAGATCTAAAAGCAGAGTTACTTGCATGAGCCAGAAAACTGATCCTAAATCAAAGAGACCAAACACTGTCTGTAATAATGTTCCACACGAATGGCTGCAAAGGGGCTTTCTTCACTCACAGAAGAGCTTGTCCATGGGGCAGTAAAAACCTTCCAGAGATCAGCAGTGCATGGTAAATAAATCAGATAGTAATAAGGCAAGAACAACTCTCCCGCTAGTAATCTGACCTGGCTTTAAACCTCCAACTTTGGGGCTCCAACCTTAAGTGTGTAGCAGCCTTTGGCTGTTACACCAGGAGCCTCTAGCTCAAGGACTGCAATTGTGCTCAGCTCCTAAGAAATGGATTTAGCTGCAGCTCAGTCCTTACTGTTCTCCTGTATGAGCATGCCTCAGACAGACATCGGGACAGCCCAGCACATGCTTTACAGCACATGCTGGACCTCTTTTTGGGCAGGATCACAGAGTGCACACCTGTGGTTCTGGGCCAGGCGGTGCACAATGTACTCTCCTCACATGCTTCTGTAGACAGTTGTACATCTACTGGCAGGAAGGCTGGGCACCAGTGGTCTTCCCTAAATTAAGCAATTTGAAGATCATCCTTCCCCATTCTCATTTGTTGATTTAAAAAAAAAAACATCAATGTGCTAGCCACTTTGATATGTATGGCAAATTGCCAAAGCTACTGCTAGTGCAGTTCTTCATTCAGAATGCCAATCATTAAACACTTGTCACATGAACTTTTTGACGGTGAGTTCATATGAACAGTATTTCGCTTTTGGACTCCATTACCTTTGTAGGTCCCTTTCAGCTGAACTAGTCTATCCTAAAACCCAGTCTCTCAGCTGTTGTTAGCACGTCTAGTCCTTCTCCTCACCTATGGCTGCGGTTAATCTGATGCATGTAAACAAAGAAGTTCTTGGGTTGCTTTGACTGACGTCACACCTATTTATCTGTCTCACTGTTAGATCAAAAGCATGTAAGTACCTAAGCTCAGGGGAAACTGCCACTTGACTGGATGGGATTTTTGCATGGGAATGATCAGCAGGTGCAAAATAATAAAACAAATAAATCAAATTGCAATGAAGTAGCTGAGCATACGTTAATATTCAGGACAAGATCACCCTTTATAACATTTGCAGCATCACAAGGAACTTTATAGGCAATAAGTTTTCTAGACCTACCTAGGAGTTCTATACTTACAATAACCCCTGGGTAATAACCTCCAACAGTCACATTTTGTGTTCTTGTTGTAGCAGCTAGGCCCACCGTTAGAATTAATACTGACACAATGAGGAGAGTCACAGTTACGTAGAGGGAATTTCTTTTTCTTCTATTGAACGACCCTAAAAACACATACAACAGAATTTGCTAATTCCATCTGGGGGTGGTCACAGTATCACAAAATTTTCCTCCCACCACCAACCACATAACGGTGAATTTCCTTTCTGGCAACGTGAGAATATTTTTTGATTTGGCTGTCTCTTTTCACCTTCACTAACATGCTTTATCAACTGCTAACTAGGGCATCTGAATTCACATCTGTTTATCATTGCTTGGATATGGATGAAGAGAGCCTTAAGAACTGTAACTTGGCAAAGCTTACCTGGATACAACAAAGCCTTCCGGCACCCTCCAGTCTGGGACAATCAAGCTAATGATAAATACTACCATTATGTATTCATTTCTTTTCTGATATATGTCTGCTTACATCGAGCCAAATATCCACACTCTACACCGCCTGTTTTGAAGGGGGAAATCTTCACTGTAAACATATCAGAAAGCATCCACGATTTTCCATATAAATGAGACATCACCAGTAACAGCCACTTCTCCTGCAGTATCATTCTCTACTTCCAGGTATTTTTAGATGTTTGAATAATGAACTTGAGGGTTTGGTGGTTTTTTTTTTTTTTAATGTATTTATAGATCTCCCAAATGAGTATAAATATAAAATAGTGATCCCATCAGCCAAGAGGAAAGCTGGCTGCCACCTTACGCTCAGCAACACCTTTAGGGTTGTTTGTTCAGTGTGTATTCTGCAATCTTTAAATCAGTTTGTGGAACAATTCTTTTGATTACATTTCATGCATTATGTAAACACAATCCATCACAAGTGAGCAGCTGGCAGGATAACAGGCTGTAATGGTCCCCTGCCTGCCCTGGGGCTGCACCTGCTCCCTGTGGCTCCTGGGACCACTCCAAATCCCATCCTTGCAGCCCAGGGCTCTCCAAAGCACCCAGGGAGCAGGTGGAGGCATTCTCCACTCCAGAGGCTCCCAAGTGGTGTGCACACCACGAGTACCTTGCAAGGTATTTCAAAGCAGGGCAGGAACGCACCCCAAGAGCAAGGAGCTGCTTCTACCACTGAGCATGTTCCCTAAAGAAAACATGTCCTGGGTTTGGCTGGGATAGAGTTAACTTTCTTCCTAGGAGCTGATGCGGTACTGTGTTTTGGATTTAGGAGGAAAATACCAGCTCCTAAGAAGAAAATTAACTCCATCCCAGCCAAAACCAGGACAAAAACACCCCTGGGAGCCCCCATGTGAGGTGAGCAGGGCACTCTGGCAGTCTGCATATGGTAGAAAAAACAGCTACAGAAAGGAACTGCTAACTCAGCAGGCCGACTGGACTTGGCCATGCCATACATTGCTGTCCTGACCAAATTCTCCAAAGGTAAATGCACTTCAGGCCTCACAAGGCAGCTTGCTGACTTGACAATAGATGTTCCAGACCCTAAATAAGGGCCTGCACCTTCTTCAGGGTCTGCAAATAATTTGCAGCAAAGCTAAACAGATCTGTGTTCACCACAACAGCTACATGGACACATATTGGTACAAACCACTTCCTTCCTCTGTAGGGACAACTCTCCCCCTGTCAAGCACAGACCCCACCACCAGCCACAGCACATCCTCACTGGGTGATCCATGCTCTGTGGTGGCACAGCCACGCTCAGCTCAGGGCCAAACCATCACATCCACAGAGAGCAGATGAGCTCAAAAACACAGCCGAGTCCTGAGCAGGCTTACCACCCCAACACAAGGAGATAAAAGGCAGGAGGAATTTGTAGGGAAAAACTGTGTCCTTTTTGACTTGCTAGCATCTCTGGAAGAAAAAGCTCTTCTCCTGCTTGTGCCCTTGGGCACAGCTGTAACTGCAGTACTGGGACATCACGAGGTCCAAAAGCAAGAGGTCTGACAAGTGGTTAGTCAGTTCTTAGCTGGAGTGAATATCTAGACAGGTGCTAGTTCCAAATAAAACACACATTTCAAATAACTGCTAAAAGTATCCCTAAGGCCCAGGCTGTATCTTTTATCATCACTCTCTTTTTATTCTCCTAAATCTGCCAAATAAGCTAATAATATAAAAATCTAGACTTTTAAGTGTTTAAAATCCATCAAGATACCAGGCTATTCTGAACGTACTGCCTCCCAAATACCGGAGTTTGTGCAATGCTCCAGTTCTAATGTCATCCTTTTAATGCAAGCATCACAGAAATGTCATGAAATACCAAAGCACTAGGACTAAAGGTTCAGCTGAACAAAAAACTTCAGAAAGGGGGGGAACAAGTTGCTACCTTTCACAAAGCTTAGTTCTGAATGGAAGGAGGGAAGAACCTGTCTTGCTTGAATACAGTAGGTCACCAACCTTCTGATCACTGCTATAGCTTGGCTGGTAAATGAGAAGAGAAGTAGCACAGCCATACATTCCTCACACAGCTTAAACTCGTTAGGGTTAGGCTGTGTGGGTGTGCAGATGCTCGTGTGCCTCCCAAACAGCCCTGCAGAGCCAGCCTGAATGAGTGAGGGGCATACACATGGAGCTACACACTGGTCCTTCTGCATGTCCTTCAAAAAGGGTATCCTTCAACAGATCCTTCAAAAAGTCACAATGAAAAATGGTTTTGAGGAAGATGGCATATTTTGCCAGAGTATTTTATAGTAACTTTTCTTCAAGAAAATGCTCTAAAACAAGAAGCTTGAAATATCATATATGCACTTGGAACTTGTTTCACAACCCCGCTCCCCACATTCACATTTCTCCATTGTTTCCCAGCTCAAAACTGTCACACACCAACATGCGATAGCATGGAACAAAAGATTTCCAATCAAAAGACTTCTGAAATCTTCTAAATATTCCTTAATAAGGGGGGGGGGGGGGGGGGGGGGAAGCCAAATGTTTTAATTCCAGGTCTGAAGAAAAACCACCACAACCCTTTAATTTGAAATCTCAGAGAAAATGCAATCATCTCCACTTCATCTCTGTTCTAGGACACTAATGTCATTGTTCCTTTCTCTGAAAAGCTGCTTTGTTACACATACATTGATAAAGTGGTTTTGTACTTCCAGAAGGACGCCTGCAGCTGTTTCAGAGACCCCGGGCTTTTAAACAGCATGTCCGCTGATGGCTGCCCTGGCTAAATCATCCATCAGGACATTAATTTTTGCTGCAAAATTCCCTGCTAGCTTGGCTGTTTTCCTCTTTGCTACTGAACCAGGTTCAGCTTTACGTGCAGGAGAGCAAAGCGAAGCCACGAGCACTGCACAGCTTTGCCACCTCTCCTTTTAAACGGCAGTAACAGCCTTTTCTCTGTGATTTATCCAGACCAGATACCTCTGTGATTTATCCACATACCTCCAAACTTGCCGCGTTTAGAGGTATCTTGCAGTGTGAGCATATGAGGCGGCTTGCATATAACTCTGTGAGGCAGAGGTAAAGACATTAGCGCTGCGTATCACCTATTTCTTTCACTGGAACGGCACTCGAAATGCGTTCAGGCTTCACTAAGACCATTTTTACATTAAGCCCCAGAAACGTCCTTAGCACCACAGCCGCAAGCCCACCACCAACCGGGGTGTCAGCAGGGCGAGCCCCCTACCAAACTAGGGTGGTTTTCTGTAGATTGCTGCAGAAGTTCAGAGTGACGGCTACCTTCGTGTGGCCTCGATGTGCTGCGGCTCCTACCCCCGGGCACAGCACCGACTTCCCTCGGCGAGCGGGGGGACGAGCGAGCAGCGGGGCAGCCCCCTGCAGCCCCCCGGCCACGCCGCACAACATGGCCGCGCCGCGCCGCCCCCGGCCCCGGCCCCGGCCCCGCTTACCCACGGAGTCAGGCAGGGCGATGCCGCCCGGCCGCTGCTGAGTCAGGGCCTGCCGCATGCTGCCCGCCGGGCCCCGGCCCCGGCCCCGGCCCCGGCCCCCGGCCCCGGCCCCGGCCCGGGCAGCGGCTCCGCGGCGCCTGCGCGCAGCGGCTGAGGCGGCTACGGGGCCGGGGGCGGGCCCGGAGCCTGGTGGGGGCGGGGCCGGGGCCTCGCTGTGGGGCCCTGGGGGTGTTGTGGGGTTCGTGCGACGCCCGAAATCGCACCCGGGAGTGCGAGATCTGAGCTGGGGGACCCCTCGCAGAGCAGGGCCGGTTCGCTGTGGGGATCGGTTCGGCCCCGTTAAGAGTCCCCCCCCCCCGCGAGTCGTGAAGCCCGGTGGCAGCCCCAATATTACCGGGGGAGAAGGGGAGGGGCGTTACAGACAACACCGTAATTCCCCTCCAGAATTACAGCTAGGCCCTCACAGCTATTAGCACATTTTGGGGTGCGGTGGGGTGTTTCTGCCCCAGGGGTTATTCTGGGGACGGGAGGGCTGAAAATGCTGCCATGTAGCCAAGTTGTCTCGCAGCACTTGGCCCCTGCGCTCACCAGTGGCACAACACAAAATTCAGGGCTGGGGCTGCCCTGCCTCATCCTCCCCACTCCCCACATTGCTCCCCTGGCCTCTCTGCACCCCACCAGCTCCCCTCCACCTCAATGCCCTTCTGCTTTGGGTGCTCCCATCTTTTGCCAAACGTCCCTGTCCTCCCCACCTACACCGGGCAATGGTGAATCCAGCACAATCAGAGACAGACTTGGGCAATTCCAGACCCTGTCCCCCCATGTTTCAGTGCAGATTTTTACTTCCCAGTGCTCTGGCTTCCCTGCAGTGCCTGATGTTTCCCAGGCCCCATCTGAGAGGCCCCACAAGCACCTCATCTCCCCAGCTGAGGAGCCAGGGCAGGACCTTAGCTTCTGTTTACCACATCGTGTCTGTAAAATGGGGATAAATGCATCTTCCCAGCAGGCTTTGTAATTGCTTGTAAATCATTTTTAATGCCCTGGGCTGAGAGGCGCTAAGTGCAAATCATGTAATTATTTCAAGCCAAATCATATTTCATCAAGTTAAAAGAAACTAATCCTATCTCTACTTCAAAAACCCACACTTTTATTGGATAAGAGCCTAATTACCAGCCTCTCCCTAGAGCAAAGAGAAAGCACACGCTGACAGCAGTGCAAGAGGCAAGCTACATATGCCCAGATCAATTAATGGCAAAGAACACTTTGCCTCCAGAGAAAGCAGCAGTTATTTACCTTGGATGAACCGGCACAGCCCCATGCACACCGATACAGGGGTGTGCATGTGCTCACAGGGAGCTGCGTGCGCCCCAAGTCCCACAGGCCCCACGGAGCAGCTGTGTCCCATCCCAGCTCCATCCTGCATAGGCTCCGGTACCATGCCAGCCCCGCTGTATGCCCAGTGGCAGACACGGGGCAGCCCGGGGCCACTGCCAGATCCTGCTCCTTCCTGCTGGGCACATTTGCTAGCACCGCTGGGGAGCGGCTCTCGGCCACACGCGGGAGAGGGTATGTGAGACGGCGCTCGGCTCTTGTGGCCCTGCAATGTCCCCGTGCCTCAGTGCAAAGCCTTGGGCTGTGGCAAGGCAGCATTTCCTCACCGCTGAGCGGGGCCTGAAGAAACTAAGGTTTCTGGCTATGTTCAAATTGTGCTGGGGTGTGAGCTGAGCTGGTGGCTGGAGCCATGCTCCAGCTCTGACTGTTGGTGTAAAACAAACCCCACTGTTCCATGAGAGCTGCATGGGGCATAACAATAACAGTGGCCCTCACATAGCTCCCATGCTGCTGGAGCTATTCCAGGAGTTTCGGCAAGACTTTTCCCCTCATCCCCCCACAGCCCCCCATCCACAACCCATTGCTTCCAGCATGCAGGTCCCTCACAGCCGCAGGACCTTAGCACCCTGTGCCCTAACACAACCTCCTGTGCCCGTAATTCACTGACAAGGGAAAATGCGATCCTCCCCAGCACAGTGGCGCAGCAAGGCATCGCTCTGGAGAGCGTCCTGCTGGCCCTGCCTGGGGAGCAGACGCTGCGTGCCCCCAGCTGCTGCCTCAATTCAAAGGGATAAATATAAACCTGCCCCTCTGCTGCAAGAGAGATTTTGCAAGTGTGGAGCAGGGTCCGGCGCTGACTGACAAGCACCTATTGACAGCCACACAGCCACTGAGAGCCCTAGTGACCATCGAGTGTTTGTTAACAGACACCACGTCACCCCACAGCATAGCGCCCTGCTCCTTGTGTCAGGTGTTAGCTGCTGCTGGGGAGGCTCCAGCAGTACAGTACACTGCAGGACCACTGCAAAGGGCACCAGGTGGCAGGGGCCTTACGCCCAGAACGGGATTCCGTTGCGTTGAGCTCATCTCTCTTAAGAAAGCAAGTTATTTTTTGACCCGCTCCTGAACACTGAAGTCTTCTGGGTGAGTGAGCAAAAGCAGCCGTGGTTCGTCAGCCGCAACCACTGCGGGCAGGCAAAGGTCTCCTGGCCCCCTGGGCTGGGGGAGCCTCGCTCAGCTGGAGCCAGCAGTGGGGCTGGGGTCTGCGGTGGGCAGGGGACTATGCCCACGGGCTCCACAGTGGGGACGGAGGTGCTGGGCTCAGCCCTGGGCTCCCTCAGTGCTAACACTCACATTTGTCTGTTTCAGAGCCAGGGATGGAGCTGAACGCTGCCTCCCCGGGAGGCAAAAGGCTGGTAAGTGTTCGGGGGCTGCTCCGAGAGGCGAGGCGGGGGCTGCAGCCACTCAGCTCACCTCCTGACGGGTGAAAGTGGCAGCTTTGCTGTAGGAAATGCTGCCTGGTGCCCCTGCGAAATGCCAGCGCTGTGCACTGGGAGGGAAGGGAGAGGCAGCAGGGCTGGCAGTGCTGCAGCCCTGCGAGGGGCTTTCCATAAAATCCTTACGGTTGTCCCGGACTCTTGCCCTGTCCCTACTTGCTGGCCATGCACCCTCAGAACCTGGACATCCTCATGGGAATGGCCAGTGCTGGGGGCCGGCTGCCCCAATCCCACTCAGCCTACCCCATCAACCCAGCAGGATGGGACCTTCACCTTGTGCTGCATCTGCAGCATGGAGCCTGTGTTCCCGTGCTATGGCTATTTATAGCAGGGAGGAGAGTGGGAGGAAGGAGAATTCATCCTCTTCTTCCCTCTTTTCATCTTCCTCCATCCGTTGCCCAATGCAGGTGTCCTGCCCTGCACGCCCATGCCTTTCCCCCACTTCTCACTACTTTGCACTATCTGAACAGAGCTCAATCCCCCTTGATCCGGAGGGATTTCCTAGCCAGAGTTTCTGCTAAGCTGCTGGCTGCGTCCCAGGGCAACCTGCAGGCTATAAATGCTTCACTGGCCCAACAGGTGTCCGCAGACAGTGGGTTTCCCCAGCCCTTGGCACAAGCTGCCAGTGCAGCTGCTGTGAGGTCTGGCTGTGCTTACCTGCACAGCCCCATCTCCACAAGACCAATGCAAGCACGGCCAGACCCAGCCAACAGTGCCTGAGCTCTGCCTTACGGCACAGGGAGGTGATGGGCCAAGTCCAAGGCTCCAGTTTTTCATGTTTTCCATCTGGAGTCCTAGCTCAGCCCCCGTTCTCCCGGCATCCAACCTTGACACAAAGCCTGCTTCTCTGGGGAAAGCTGGGTTTGGGAAGAAACTCCTCCTGGTTGGCAAACCCTGCTCTGAGGTCACCCAGCCCTGAGCTCCAAGCAAGGGCTGCACCCCGTCCCACATTGCTGCCTGGTTTTAGAGCTTCCACAGGTTCAAGGCATTTAGGGACAGTCACCCTAAATCACATCTCCAGTGACTTGTGGCCAGAGAGAGAGAATTTAGTGTCTGTGAGCTCCAGATAAATGCCTCTTCATCACCAGGGCCGTGGCACAAAGAAAACTCTCTCTGTGCCTGGGGATGTGCTTTTCCTGGGAACTTGGTGTAATTCAAAAAATAACATTACAGGGATTTCTCCAAAGACTAAACACTTGCTCACATGCCAAGAAAAATAAAGTGGATGACCTCTTCAGTGATGCTGACTGGTGTCATCCACAGTAACACAGAAAATGCACACATGTGGTAAGAGACATGGTAGTGTGGGAACAGCCCCAGCTCACCCAGCTTGCAGGCTTTCTTGTGGTCACATTGATGCAGGTTAGAGAAGACAAACTTTTGTAAATGCCAGGACAAGGAGATGGAACTCAGTGTGACTGCAGTGCCATGGAAAAAAAAAAAAAAAAAAAAAAAGAACGCTGGAATCTAAGTGATCACAAGTCAGAACAGCCAGCCTCTCCTTAACTCAAGAGTGATGATGGGAAAATGGAAATTTGAAACATTTCCAGCTATTAAGTGCTTTTGCATTTATTTTTGGCCAATGAGATGCTCAGCCTGCCTGTGGGGGTTGTGTTCTGTAACTCTTCCAGGAAAATAAGGATGAAGAGAAAGTGCAGGATCTTGACGCAGGAGAAGCAGAGACCAAGGCAGAGATGGGGAACAAAACTTGGGCAGACCTGGCTGGGGAGATGAAGACCTTCCTGTGGAACCCAGAGGAGAGAACCTGCCTAGGGAGAACAGCCAAGAGCTGGGGTAGGTCCTTGTTTGAGCCCCGTTTTTGGGGGTTGGTGCCTTTTCTCCTTCATGGTGGATGCACTTTCCTGCGAACATCTTTGCTAGCCTGGATCACTGCCCCGTCCCAGCAATGAGGGGTGCACATTTCTGAGCGGGGCAATAAAAACAGCTAGTTGGGGAGGGGGTGGACAAGCAGACAACCAAAGTTAGACCAAGGTTAGACCAACCTAGGTACACCAAGTACCTTGGTCTGGATGCCAGTGTTTATCAAGAACTCATAAGCAAAAGTTTGGAAAAAAATTAAGAGACGGAGCAAATGCAGGGGACCCCAGCTCTGTTGTGGCCTGGATCCTGCCAGGGCAAGCAGGGAGCAAGCCCTCTGCACATGGTGATGTGGCAGTAGTGGTGGGCCTGCAGTGAATGCTGGCCAGGCAGCCCTCCTTGCACCCCAGGAAGGTCTCGTCCCTGTCTCCGTCCCTTTCTTCATCCCCCCACTGCTCCTTGGGTACAACTCTTGGGCTGGCATGGATGTGTCCCCAGCTGAGCAGTGCTGGAAGTTGCACGTCTGCAGGAATGGGGAGGGCACAGTGAGCACCAGCACATGGGTGTCGTCTCCTGGTACTGCACGGATGGGCAGCAGTGTCACTCCTGGTGGTGACAGCCCCATCTGCCCCATCCTGGCCCGCGGCGGGATGCAGCCCCACAGCAGTTCCCAGCCCCGTGCTTGCACACAGCTGCGTTCCCAGGGCTCCCCCCACACTGCCGGCACGTTTCTCCTGGGAAATGTTTGGGTTAGGTTTTGCTTCGCTCTGCGCCACTGGGTTTTATTCATAGGCCACAGCCTCCTGAGACATCCTCAGCCGTCAGCCTGGCCCTGAGGAAAACAAACCCTGTGCCTGGACATCAGGGCCAAGATGCTGGCAGTGCCGCGGGCCGGGCGATGCCATCTGCCACAATCCCAGTGCCTGGGTCCTCATCACAGCCAACAGGAGGTCAGGGTGGAGGCACCTTCATGTGGCCCCCACCTGGGTCCTGACTCAGCTCTGGGAAGGGCTGTGCCACGAAACAGATCCAAAGGATCCATCCCCAGGGCCTGGGTGGGCAGGAAGTCCATCCAACAGCCCCGTGCCCCAAAATTCTGGTGTCACGGCAGAGGTGGCTGCCAGCATCCCCATGGGACATGCTTGGGTTACACTGACAGCAATGTGCCCTCTCTGCTCTGCAGGCCTGATCTTACTGTTTTACTTCGTTTTTTACACGTGCCTGGCGGGGATGTTCGCCTTCTGCATGTACGTGATGCTGCTCACCCTGAGCCCCTACACACCCACCTACCGGGACCGTGTGGCTCCGCCAGGTACGTGCCCGGCCTTGGGTGCCTCTGCTGGAACACACACACAGGCTGCGATGGAAGGGTTGGGTAGGCAGAAAGAAATATTATTATTGATAATAGAAAGATTTATGAGAGGAAATTTTGCAGACTAAATGGAGAGGTCTTTTTTCTTATGTTCTTCACAAATGGACAAAGAGTTAAGGTGAGATCTTAAAGCTTTTTTGAAGCAGAAATAAATAATCAAAGAGACTCACAGAATCACAGAATTGAAGGGGTTGGAAGAGACCTCGAAAGATCATCAGGACCAACCCCCCATGCCAAAGCAGGTTCCTTACAGCAGGCTGCCCAGGTAGGTGTCCAGACAGGCCTTAAATATCTCCAGAGAAGGAGACTCCACAACTTGCCTGGGCAGCCTGTCCCAGTGCTCCATCACCCTCACCATGAAGAAGTTCTTTCCCATGTTGGTGCGGAACTTCCTGTGCTCTATCTTGTGGCCATTACCCCTTGTCCTGTCCCTGCAAAAACTCACCAGGGATTGTCCTGAGCCAAGTCCCAGCTGCTACAGATCCTACAGCTGCTACAGGGGCAGGATCCTACTGAGTTTCCACCAGCTGAAGACCTGTCCCCATCTGTTGTGGGGGCCAGGCTCCAAGCCCGGTTCAGCAAAGTGCTTCTAAATGGCATTACCCAGGGTGCTACCGTCCACTGCAGCAGCAATGGTGCTGCAGCTCCCCAGCCACCAGGTTGTCTGGAGAGGACCAGACATCTTAAATACCCCCCATGTAAAGCCTTTGTTCAGATTATATTAATTGTTATTGTAATTACTCCATTATTCTGATTATTCTTAAAGAGGCAAGTTTAGGCATTTCATAGATTATATCCACTCATTTCATCTGCTCCCCTTTTATACATCAGACCTTTGAAACCAAAATGCAAATCAGGAGTAGCTTTTACACTTTTTTTTTTTTTTTTTTTTTGGGGGGGCGAGGGCGGAATAGGGGACAATGTTCAAAACCTTCTTTCCCCATGGCAGAAGCAACATTTCCCTGGGCTTTCATGTCAGTGGGGAACAAGTGACCCCCTGGCCCTCTCTCTGCCCCCAGCTGGCTGAGAGCATGGGGGTCCCTTGGCCCCTGCGTGCTGCAGAAGGATGAGGATGGGGATGATGAGGATTATAAGGATGTTACTGCCTGCTTGAGAGCTGGTGCTGCTGGCCTGTGCCCGTGCCCAGCCCACCCAACATTCTCCACAGCCTGTGGCTAGTCCCCATACCTGCTCTGACAGCATCCATCTTGTTCTCCAGGGGTGATGATCAGGCCATACCTGAATGGATTCACCATTGCCTTCAATGTCTCCAAGCGCAGCACGTGGCAGCCATACGTGGACAGCATGCACGACTTCCTAGCAGGTGGGTGTTGGGGGGCCATGGGGCAGAGCACCTCTGGGTGCCTCACGTCTCCTGCCTGGAAAGGGAGGATTCGTGAGGTGGTCTCAGGAGCTTCTGTGGGAGGAAACTTCCTGATCCAGGTGGGACTGCCCTTCATGTGAGGGTGCACTCAGTGATTTGATGTGAGCAGGCCTGGAGAAGCATTAATGAGTCGCTTGGTCCCCACCAGCTTATGATGACAAGGTTCAAGAGGAGAAGAATATTGAGTGCATCTCGGGGCAGTACTTCATCCAAGGGGGCAATGAGAGTGAAGAGAAGAAGGCCTGCCAGTTCAAGCGCTCACTGCTGCAGAACTGCTCGGGAATCGAGGATCAAACTTTTGGCTACTCCAGAGGCCAGCCCTGCATCCTGCTGAAGATGAACCGGGTACAAAAAAATCTGGTTGTTGTGATTCCTTCCTTCAGTGGATCCTAGTGGGACAGACTAAGGACTGTGCGGGGCCTGAAACTCATCCTGTTCTTAGGTCCAGGGAAATGGAACGAGAAACCTGCTGGCTTGTACCTGCCAGAAAAACTAAAAATGAGGCACTACAAAACTCTGCAGATTTGATTTGATGAAGGGCTGGGTGCATGGCAGCACCTGTGCCAGCCTCCTCTCTAGGAGGAAGTGAGCTTTAGGGCTACACCTCAGGCCCTCATTTCTTTATAACAGGCATTTTTGCAGAACCAAATTTATTAGAAAATTTCCAATATTCTGGCAGCTCAGTGCATGCTGCTGGAAAAATAAAGGAGGGGGGAAAGCGAGCTGTGTGGGGAGATGGTTGTGTTATACTAGGGATGCTCCCAGCATCCTTCTCTGCCTCTCCTGACACATCGTGGTTGTCCTGGGTGACTGGCATGCACAAGAGCTCTAGAAAGGGAGGCAGCACATGCTTGGCGTTGCATTTCCTTCAAGTGTGAATGTCTTTTTTCCCTGCAGATCATAGGCTATCGCCCTGGCGCCGGGGTCCCCGTGAGCGTAGACTGCAAAGTGCAGGTACTGTCGCGCTCCGTGCCCTCAGCTTAGCCCAGTGCCCTCACAGGACCCTGTGCTCCTCCTGCCCCCAGCCCAACTGAGGTGGTCTGCTGAGGGCTGCAGGGGTGACCATGAGTCTCCTGCTTCCCATCCTGGCCCTCACCCTCTCACTGCTGGTTCCCAAAGCCCCCAAAGCTGAAGAGAGAGGCTGGAGCTGCTGGCATCCACCTGCAGCCCTGTCCCGGAGAGCGCCCTGCAAGCTGGCAGCAGCAGCAGGAGCGGCTCCCACACAGGGCAGCAGCTGGGTCATACCCTTAGAGAGTGATAAAGTAGCCAAGCACAGAGAAAGATCCATGTGCAGCAAACGCTGTAACCTTCACCCATACCCTCCTAGCACAGTTTTGCTCTGGCTCACTGCAGCAGCCACTGGCTCACAGAGCAAACGTGCCACGAGTGAGCAGCTGGCGCAGCTGAGCTGTGGTGGGGATTTGCAGGAGATTTTTGTGCTAAAGCTCCTTCGCTTTACTTATTTTGTGTCCCACATGCTATGCGAGTACCTGTTTGTTTCCATCACAGAAAGGCAATGAGAGCGACCTGAGGTCAGTGGACTTCTACCCTGGGAACGGCACGTTTGACCTCATGTATTATCCCTACTATGGCAAGATCACACACGTAAGTAAGGGTTCAGATGTTCTGGTGGCTTCATTACCTCTCCTTGGGAAGGAGCTACTGCAGGGGGTACAAATGTGCTCACTGGCTATTTCAGGCAGCTGCAGGCAGGAGGGAGGCCACGGGCACTGGGATTGCAGTGCTCTATTTTTGTCTCTGACAAACTGCAGGTAATCTTTAGGGATGCTGTTTTTCCCTTGCCAACAGTGGGAACAGTTAATTTTTCTGCTTGTGGTCCAGGTCTGGCTGTGCTAATCCCCCAGACTAACTCTGGGGGGATGCTAACTAACACTAACACTGGTCTCAACACCAGCATTTTCCTAGGGTGCTGGGGAAGGTGACAGGCAACAGAGGAGGAAAAGCCCCCTAAAATGAGGCTCCTATTAAAAGACACGACAAAACCACTGCAAATTGAGCAGCTTGATGCAGAGCAGGCAAACACCAGTGTGTTTCTGGTCCCACTGGTGGGGGCTGAGCTGGGTCGTGCAGCCAATTACCCATGATATTTACTGACCATGAAAGAGCATTGCCTGCTTTCCTGCTCCCTCAGCAAATCTCCCTCCTTTTCAGGTCAACTACACGTCCCCACTGGTGGCCATGCACTTCACAGACGTGAAGAGGAATTCTTTGGTCCCCATTCAGTGCAGCCTGCACGGGAAAGGGATTGTCAATGACGTTAACAGTGACCGCTTCCTGGGACGAATCATCTTCACGCTCAGCATTGGGAAGTAGCCACGGCAAACACAGGACACGTAGGTTTTGTCAGGCAGAGGCTTTTTCCTTTTTAAAGCATAAAGGCAGCATTTTTTTTTTTCCTGCTAGGAAAACAGACACTTGGAAACTTTTAATTTATTTTTGTTTATAGTTAGGAAACAAATGAGATGCAACAGTGTAGAACCACATCTTTTACCAGCTGATGTAACTCATTATTAATAAAAGTTAAGTTATACCCTGGGCAGGGAACCTGCAAGAGCATTTCAGTTTTTATTAGAGGAACTATGGTATCTGAACACTATTTTCATAAGGTCTTTTACAAGTCACCCCTGTGAAATGCATTTTTCCTGGCTATAAATTTCAGTCTTTACCATAGTTTTATGTGCATTTCTCAGGCAAAAGCTAAAAAGATGGTAGTTTATAAGTACTATTCTTGTTAAAATAATAAATAGCAAAAAATCTGGATTATGCTTGCAGTAATAGCTAAGAAGTGAAAATGACAAATCTCAGGACGCCTCCTAGGAGCCTCAGCACCTCATGCAGCCAGGTGCTGGAGCAAAAGCCACATAGGGCAGCATTTGCCCTTGAACCTTTCCAGTTGTTCCCAGGCAGACAAGTGCCTTTCTCCCTCCTCACTTCAGTACTTCTCTCAAGTCTGTTGGGCAGGGGACAACTGAAAGGAGCTCTTTATTCTCTCCCTGTCACAGCTCACAACTCCTCCTTCCCCTGCTCAGGCACAGAAGCACCAGTGAAAAATATTCCTCCCTGGGGAAGCCCCTGCTTTGCTCCATCCCCAGCCTCCTCAAGTGGAAGCAGGGCTGAGCTAGCTCAGAGAGGCATTACAAGGCTTAATCCATGTTCATGTCGATAGAGGTATTGGCTATCTTTGTTCCCCAGGACAAAGCAGTGGTGATTTCAGCATCTATTACAGCCAAACACTTTGTTTCTACAGACACTCAAACTCAATTTAAAGCAGTTTTGATTCTTTGGAAAATGAGTTTTTATTATTATTATTATTATTATTATTATACACCTTCACATTTAACATACAGAGAGTATATTTCATCTCTCTTATCAGCTATGAGCAGGACAGGACACCTTAGGATAACGTACTGCTTGGAAAGCACACTTACTAAAATTACTTACCGACTGAACAAGAGCATTATGGTATGTTTGTCCTACATTCTAGTCCAGATAATTCATCTGCCATCATTTTTGATCTATATAAGACTCTAAGAAGTCTTTTATGTATTAAAAATAAAGTAACTACAGTAAAATTAACTCTATGGTATCATTCTTAAAACATTTAAATGTAACAAATGTAATTTGTAACTTTTGTGGGCTCTGCTGGCCAGCTAGGGACTGTTTTTCAAATACAAATGTAATGTGTGTAATCTTTGAATTTTGAGCATTTGATTAACTTCCTGAAGAGTTTAGAAGTCCAGTACAGCAAGTCTCACTATACGGCAAATATCACAATCAACCTTTTGGCAAAACCTATTTCTTAATAACCCTTAAAAATATTAAATACAGGTATTTTAGGAGTTAATTTTCCTCAGATGTGATTATCCACATGAAATTGAAAAGTGATAGGGCAACGTTATGATTTTTTCCTCCACAGCTTACCCAAAAGGGCTTGTTCTGACTAACAGAAAACAGCCTCTGCCCATGAAGGCACGGCAGTGATAGTTGCTCTAATTTTGACATCAGAACTAAGTTAAAACCACAGATGTTTCCCAGCCTGCCAACTGCTTTACATCTTTAGAAGCACTTCTGTTTCTATAGGATCCTGAAAGGAAACAAACCCCTCTGTGCTTCAGACCATGAAATGAACAGCTATCCAGCTAGCAACAGGATGAAAGATTATTTATCCATTCCATGCCTGCCTGGTGGAAGGATTCACAAAGCAGCAGGGACTGTCCTTTGGCAGATGCTGTACCAATGTACAATTATTTTTTGTCACACCAACAGCCAGACCCAGGCATGTTAAAAAAGGCCCTTGGAATATCTCTGGGAAATTGCATGTCTACTTACACTGATGCAAATGTATGAAGTTCAACAAAGCCAAGTGCCGGGTCCTGCACCTAGGGCACAACAACCCCAAGCAGAGCTACAGGCGGGGAGATGAGTGGTTGGAAAGCTGCCTGGCAGAGAAGGACCTGGGAGTGATGGTGGACAGTCGGCTGAATATGAGCCAGCAGTGTGCTCAGGTGGCCAAGAAGGCCAACAGCATCCTGGTTTGTATCAGAAGCAGTGTGGCCAGCAGGGCTAGGGAAGTGATTGTCCCCCTGTACTCGGCTCTGGTGAGGCCGCACCTCGAGTACTGCGTTCAGTTTTGGGCCCCTCGCTACAAGAAGGACATGGAGGTGCTTGAGCGAGTCCAGAGAAGGGCAATGAAGCTGGTGAGGGGTCTGGAGAAGAAGTCCTACGAGGAGCGGCTGAGGGAGCTGGGCTTGTTCAGCCTGGAGAAGAGGAGGCTCAGGGCTGACCTCATCGCTCTCTACAGGTACCTTAAATGAGTCTGTAGCAAGGTGGGGGTTGGTCTGTTCTCCCACGTGCCTGGCGACAGGATGAGGGGGAATGGGCTAAAGTTGCACCAGGGGAGGTTTAGGTTGGATATTAGGAAGAACTTCTTTACCGAAGGGGTTGTTAGGCATTGGAACGGGCTGCCCAGGGAAGTGGTGGAGTCACCATCCCTGAAGGTCTTTCAAAGATGTTTAGATGTAGAGCTTAGTGATACGGTTTAGTAGAGAACTTCTTAGTGTTAGGTCAGAGGTTGGACTAGGTCTCTTCCAACCTACATGATTCTGTGATTCTGTTTACAACCACCAGAGTTAACTTTATTTGCCATACACATACTCTGCTTCTAGCAGGTTCAAACTGTCACTCCAAGATCTGGAGAGCTGTACACACCGTTCTTCATGCTACAACAACCTTTAAGTGCTGGCTCAATTTCTGACTTCTACTGAAGCCCAAAATAGTCTTTTATATAAATATCTATTATATATACACATATATAAAATATATGTGTGTGTGCAACCAGGAATTCACCACATTTTAATAAAACAACCTAGAATGTGATGCAAAAAAGCGATGCAAAATTGCAACCTAAGCATGAAACCGTGGCTGGAATCCACCTTCTGGCAGCAGAGAAGCGATGCCCCTCGACAAGCAGGTGTTATGCAGAAATTGCCAGCCTCAAAATAATTCACTGTTCAGCTCTGGCAGGTAGATCAGGTATTGTGATAGCAAAGATACAACATAAAAGACCATGACAATCAAAACTGAAACCCAATCTGAGTCAGCAGCATTAAAAATTATACTCCGTTAAAAAAAAAAAAAGAAGACAGCTCGGTTCCAGGACCCATTGCAGCGTAAAAGTCAGGTATGTCAGACTCAGGTGGAGCTTAGGTCACACTGAGGACAGAAATAGGTCACACTGAGGACAGAAATAACTGAACACACAGGTATTTCTCAATCAGCACTAACTTATTAGCAATCTCCCTTCCCCGAACAGACGTGAGCTACTAAACAATGTTCCTGACTGTCTCCTTTATGGATGAGTTATTGAAGGTGCCCTCCTCATGGCATAGGTAGAGGTGCAGTGCACTAAGCAGTAAGCAGATTTACTGAACACCACACCGCAAGCCACCAGCACCTCTCTGCAGACCTAGCAGCTCTCAAATCACCCACAGAAAATGGGAACAGGGTTCACAAACTGCAAAAGGCTTTTGCCTTGCTGGACCAAAGAAGCTGAAAGAGGCTTCTGTCATCTATCAACATGAACCTAGTGGGAGCAAAGACTAATTCAACATCAAATGTCTAGCTTCTGTTTTGAAACAGGTTAGATACAGAACAAAACTACAAAAGAAGTAACAAAGAAAGCAACCTCAGATGTTTTTTCCTTCAGAAGCCACTTTCTTTAGTGTACGCGTGTGTGTGTGTATATATATATATATATATATATGTATGTATGTATATACAGAAATATATTTGAAGGTTCTGCTTTATGGTCAGCATTTCTCATACTATAAAGTTTGTGCCCTTACACTGCTAAACATTTTTGAGTGTGTAATAACTAGAAGGTTAAAGCCAGATTAATCCTATAAACACATTCCTAGACTGCAGCTTTTCAGTGAACCCCTACTAATCCATGCGTTTTCTAATGGAGCTGCAGGAATCTCTGAAAAAGTCGTACTCTCAGTCAGTGCTCAGAACAGCCAAGCCTCATATGGAGCAGGGCTGAAAGGCTGCAAGGTTTCTCCTCTGTGCACAGAATCCAAACTGAGACAAGCTGCTGCCAGTGAAGCACCACCCTCCCATCCTTATTTCACAACTGGGCTCAGAGCAAGAAGGAAAACACATTAAAAACATTAGCTGCTGACTTCTCTGAGTACTGGAAATTCACCAGGACTTATCTTAGTGCACAGACATGCTAGTGCAAAGCCACTGCACACACGTTAGCAACCAACTTCTTCATACTGGTCTTAAACACGTGGATTTACCAGAAGAATAAGCTGTTCTCGTATTAGGTTGATTTACTAGTGATGCCAGGTATTACCTTTACATTCAGAAGGAACAGGAAATTCAGACTGGTTCACAAGAAAAAGCTGTAAAGCGATGAGAAAAGACAACAGCCATAAGCCAAGCTCCAACTATAAGTCTTAAGATCTTGGTAGTCTTCTCCCACAGCGTGTACAATCCTTTTCTACGTTTTCTACCTTTTTCATACCTTTAATTATCACATGGTTTTAGCTTCAGCATTATCTGAGATAAGCTGTACACAACTAGAAATTTTCTCGTATAAAAAGATTAAACAACAGAAAAAGTCTCTTAGATGTTGTCTGTAGTCAAAATAATCACATTTCTCATTTGTGCACATATCAACTCTGCTCAGTCCTACGGTCCTCAGAACATTTACTTTCTCCAAAACCATACAGGGACTTCAAATAAATTTCCAATTTATATCATGGCAAGTTATTCTGTCGTGATGCATGTGGGTTGTTTTTAATAAACTATGAACTTTTCTTTTTTAGGGGTAGATCAGTGAGTCTGGGAAAAGAAGAGCAGGAGGGGTGGCAGCAGAGACGGAACTAAGAGATTATACAGACTGATAGCCAGTACGACTTTTCCTTCTTCCAATGATATAAGATATAAAGACAAGAATAATAAGGAAGCCAAGTGCTATGCCCACCACGATGGGAATAAGAAAGTTCAGGTCAGAATCAGCAAGGCATTCTTCGGCTGCAGAAAGAACAAAAAAACAAACGAACCAAAAAAAAAAAAAAAAACAAAGAAAAAGAAAAGCAAAGGAGAACAAATTAGTGAAGGAAACCAAGCATTAGAATCCAAGTACAGCAAGGAACAAGCAGATGCTTACATTTTTTAATACATATTACTGTATTATGTAAATAATACATTTGAAGTAACATCACCATTAAGTAAAAAATTGATAAAGACGTATTTCTTTAAACATATATACTATGCACATTGCTTTGTAAAATAGATAAAATACTCCTGATTTGTACATTAGCTTTCATCTTGCTTTAGTGCACCATCCCCTTAGATATACTAGAAACATGAAGACAGGACTGTAGCCTGAGCATGCGCTAGCTAATTACACCTGGCTAATTACAGCTGAGTTAACAGCAATAAAGCAACATAAAACAGACTGGTATACTGCTGTCTTGTCCAAGCGATTTCCCAAACCCTCAGATCACCAACACTGCTCCAGGCTTCAGACATGGAGAGATAACAGAGGAGCCAGGGAAGTAACTGAAAGTAGAAACTTACTGGAGACTTCAAAAGGCAGCCAGGAGTCAAATGCTGAAAGCACTGAGCGGAAAATACTGAGGGACGCTCTTTTTGAGTGGGTAACTTTATTTATTTTCAATTCAAGTACAAGAAAAGGGTTACCATTATCAGCTGAGAATTAGGCAGACCTTAACTGAAATCAACAGAAGAGAGGAGACAGCTGTGACACTGCAGTGCTTCTCAACACACCAGGTGGAAAGTATGCGACCAACTCCACACACAAACACTCATGCAAGTATCAGCAAACACAGCTGGGGTTCTGTTCCAAACGCAGCCTGGAGCACACGCGGAAGCAGAGCTTAGCATTCTTCACCCATTTCAAGAGAGGGCTGGGCTCCACTCACGTGGTGCTGAGAAATGGTATGTTCAGTGAGATTCAGCATCAGCATCCTGCTTCATCACTGTGATGGTGCTCGGCTTTGGGGCTCTTAAAGCATCTCCTTAGAAATTTCCTTTTTGCTTAAGTTTATTTTAGAATGTATTCAAGTTTTAGAGCAGAATATGCATCATGCACACACTCAATGCTTTATCAAAAGTTATCAGCTATTGTCTTAAGTGGATATTTAAACCATTTGAGTGTCAATCAGCCTTAGTTATGGGAAGTTTACTGTCTTGATTTAGCTCACTTACAGTCCAGCACAGTGAAATTTTTGGCTACCAAGACTTTTAGCCTTGGTATAAAAAGCTAGCTTCCCTTTTAAATTCCAATCATGAGATGCAACTAATAGCCCAAAACTTTGTAATGTTTCTATTGGTATAGGCTATGCAATAGAGAACACCATAGTGTTTATTATTTTTACTTTTTAAAAGGAAGCATTCATCAGCTGCAAAAACTTTTCAAGGACTACTACCACAGCATCTTTAAGCTAAAAGACAGAAATCTTAAAGCACAGTTTTCATATTTAGTAATCTGTATATAAGGCACAGTCAATACTAATTAAAACAAACTGCAGTGCATGATAGATTATATACATTAACATTCAACATCCACAAGCACACACATTAAATGCTGTTTCCACAGACCAGAACAAAACTGTTTGTCTTATAATGCCACTGCATGTCTTCACAATTCTGAAATTTGAAGTGTAGTATTTTAGAAGAACTGAAATTAATTCATCAGTTGACTGAGAACTAGAACACAATCTCTGCACGTCGTAAAATTCAAACATAAACCATGACAATAAATTCCACATCAGTTCTTAGCCAGGTGCTAGTTTTAACCTATAATTTGTCTGACTGTGCAAGCAAGCTGCTGTTCTGAGTCTTTAGAGTTCAGTTTTATTAATTTGCTTCAAAAAGTTAAACTTTCCCATTTTAAAATTGCTCGTATCCGGCATTACGGTGTTTCTTGTGGCCAAAAAAGTAAGCCATAAGTACTAGGACAACTAATCCTCCCAGAGCTGCTCCTACTGCTATGGGTACAATGAAGTTGTCCACCTCTGGGCTGCAGTCTTCAGCTAAATAGAAAAAGGGCAAGTTTGAAAAAGAAATGCATTTCAACAGAAATATTTAATACTATAAGCACCCTCTAATTATTTAGAACAGTTAACCTTTCCCCATCAGGGCATTAAGACAGTCATCCAGAAAACCTTGTCCTCCTCTTCCCTCCCCAAAATACGGTAGCAATAGTCTCCCTTCCCAAACATCATACTAACAGATTCATAATTCTATGATACATGTTGTTGAAAAGCAGCTGTGTATTACTATATAAAGAATTATCAGTATTGTATACCCTTTGTACACCCAGGCTTCCAGTGACCAGTTACCAACTGCAAGTCTCCAGGATAGAGAGCAATACTGGAGATATAATTACAGTCAAGATAAGAAAACTTTTTATAGGACAACAGTAATTGCTGCTTGTTTCAAGATTTGTCAGACTCAGCCAGACTGACATGTACTGACAAGGTGATGGCAGTTTGATGCCTGCAGTCTCATCATAGTTTAGGTTTACTTTGATTTACAGCTTCAGGAACAGAAACTGCTAAGCTCTTTAACGAGATCCTATTAAAATATTTGTTCACATTAAAATGCTTCAGCTGACCTCAGCTTACATTTCAGAAGGTACTAACATTATTTTGTCTTTAGGTAGCAGATGTGAAGATAGCTTTAATGTAATGATAGCATATGCAATGCAGGCTAGAATCAAGAAGAAAGGGTGTGTGATTAGATTGTACTTTTTCCTCCCATCATATCACCATGGAGTTCACAACACAGGCCAGCAAGAGGTATAGTAAAGAGAAGACTAGTGTCTCTCTTAATGCAGAAAAAGCCAAAGTGCTTAGTAGTACTGTTATCTGAACTGTCAGCACAGAGAGGACCAACATAGCTTCTGCCTTAGAGGATGAAGCTGCTAACCAGCTCCCTGAAGAGTCCCTAATGCTTTCCCACTCTTGCTAAATGATGGGACTTACTTCATTTTCCAAGGCAAGTTAAACAAACACACAAACAAACAAAAATGAACTACTCACAACTGTACACCAGTTTAAGATGGCTAGCAAAAATGAAATTGTAATGGCATCTTATCTGGAAGGAGCAACAATTGCCGAAAGAGTTTACAAGTAAATTTCAAATGATGAATGGGACACAGTATCTCAATTAGTTCTCAAGCTGTCTTCTGCTAGAGGATTGTACCCAAGCACACTGCAGAATGTGCTACAAAACAAAGCATTAAGACACAGGCAACTGAGGACTCTTTGAGGAGCACCTTCACAAGTTACATAACAGAATCTCAGATGTAGACTGATTAAGTTGGCCTTACTCCTTTATTTTATTTTCTTTTAAAAAAGGTAATACAAGATGTCTGTTTTCAAATCGGTTAAAAAATATGAACAAGTTTCCTTAATAAACAGAACAATCTTTATTATTTAGAGCACATGTTGAGCAGGGTTGACAATTCCCTATGGATCAATACATACAGGAAAACTAGTGGTTTTATAACAACAGGCAGTCAGGTGAAACTTAGATGTTTTTTGAACCAGTTATCTGCACATCAGTCTAGGAGCACTTTAATCTCTCAGCCAGTATAGTTGCAAACAAAGATCAAGCTCCAGGTTTTTGCAAAGGTGCATTTAGTTTTGTTGGATTTTAGGAGCAGTTTGCACTGATCTTCTGTTTTGTCACTTGGAAATCGTGCGGAGATCAAAAATGCACATGATCAGATGAATACAGTGCGGTGACTACTCCATAACAGAAATGCAGGTATAACTGGTGACAATGAACTTCAGTCAGGAAAATGCTAAAAATCTATAGGAACTTCCGCATTTAATGATATATTAATATGATTAAGTTATTAGATCCACTATTTGATTTTGTTTTTAATTAAAATGTAAAGTCTTGAAGCCTGTTTTGAGATTAAACTGATAGTATTTCCCCACTTTCATTGAAATGATGCAGTAACTGATGCAAAATTCAAGCTGCAGACTACAAGCTATAGTAAGCTTTATCCACCCATTTTTGCTTCCTTAGCTAGTGTCAAGGTAAAACTGTTTTCATCAAATAAGTCTATGAAATACACTTTCAGAAAAAATCTGTACACAAACATGCCACAGACATCTCTACAAGCCTAGAAAACACTAATAAAACACTAAACCAGCTTTGATGCAAGCTGAACTCATTCTAAAGAGGAGACGTTATGCTCATTAAATGACTAGTTTAGGCAGCTCATGTTATGACACATGCAAAAAGGTCACACATTTTAGAAAAATAGTTTTTTTTCCATGCAGTAAAAAATGCAGCACAAGGAGGCCAGAAAAAAAAAAGTGCAGCAAGGGTTAGACTTGACAGAGCTGCAGCTTAAGAACAGTCCATTTGCACTGCATTTTTTAAGCTAGTTAGCCTTTCCACAAAGCAAGGAAAAATAGGTGTAATTGGTCTATCTCAAACTTGTTTAGCTTTTGCATTCTTAACGGTAATAAATGGTACACAGCAAACAATCAAACACAAAGTACATTAAACACTGAGGATGCCAAAGGCAGACAATTGTTATATGGATTTTGATTAGCACAGAACCATTCAAGATGAAGATTTAAAGACAGCTCAAGTTGCAGCAACAGATACTGGCTCATTAAATTAAAGCATCTTTAAACAATGGTAATTCAAAGCAACAAGACAGACCAGTTCTGTGCAAGGTATGATATAAAGTTAAGTGCACTTTAAAGTTCTGGAATATTTAGACCAGTTATTCCCTATAAACTGATTCCAGGAAAAAAAAAAAAAAAAAAGCCTGCATGATTTTAGCAGAAATCTGCCTCAGTTGAATTATTTCAGGAGATTGGCAAGGTATAAAACTGATGAAGAATTGATGAAGAATTCAGTGCCTAACAGAATATTTTTTTTATTTTTGGAACGCATTTGGAAACTGCACTGAAATCTTCCAACACATCAACCACCTGGCAAGCATACGTTACCCACATTGTTTGTATAGCCAGGGTATGGGAATGGTTCCTGAAACCACCAAGGCAGGAGTAAACTACTCAAACTCCATCAAAGCTAAGTAAGTTACTGCTGCCACTTCAAAACACCACTTAATTACCAGCCTGAAGTTCAACTCTATGAAAAACAAAGTTATTACTGGGCATCATACAATCCGTAAGTACTACGTGAGTCAACATAGTGACTAATGCTGTCAACTTAACTGACAATTATGACAAGTAAGGAACACAGAAGGGAGAAGCAAGTACATATCCTATGCAATCCTGGGAACTGCCCAATGCACATCAGTTTGGAAGGTGTTCTAGTTTCAGGCTACAATTTGTAAAAAGTGGAAATGAATCCTAAACACTTCAGTGGTTTTTCTTCCAAAATAAAATACTCAGCCTAGCAATGTATCCAATAGTGGTATCTGAACATCTTCAGAACAGCTATGAAACCCACGTCGTCTTCTCCAAAGCAGGAAAACTAAGAACGTAGTTCTGCTTCATCTGGGATAAACATTCTCCCTTTGTTTCCCAACTCCAATTAGCCGTGGCTAGCACTTAGTCCTAAGGTTTGGGGCTTTTTTGGACTTGCACTTGCTTCATTTAGAGTGAAATCAGAACAGTGATTACATTTAGATTCACAAAGTTTGATATCCAGCATAGCTTTTTCTTCTGCCAATTATATAAGCAATCACTATAATGACAATCAAGCCAGCAAGTGCAGCACCAACTACAATTGGGATTAGAATGGTGTCATCATCCAGCGAGCACTCCTGGGCTGTAGATGAGAGAAAGGTTGCAACAAGGAATAAATAAAGAATAAATACTTGCAACAAGGAATAAATACTTGCCAAGTGTGGTATAAAAATCTATTTTCCTTAATATGAAGATGCTCAAAATCAAGTATTATTATATATATATCTTTATACTAAGAGAGAAAGAACTGTAGAGGTCACATGGGTATTACTAGCATATATTAATCCTTATAATCATTTGGAACATTTGATAAGCTAACAAACTAAAGGAATTGTCCTGCTGTACAAGTTTTCATGTACACAAGGTCTGTACTAGAAAATGGATCAGCCATTCTTCTACTGCTAAGACAAAACCAGGCTTACCTATTTCATGCTTAAGGCAAGTCTGGTACATTTACTGATTAAGAATAAAGTAACACCTGGATTTGGTTTTGAAAACCTATGTAGAATAGAGACGTTACAGTGAGATGAAATTGCTAGCTAGAAGGAAGAAGCAGCAGCCAGCTGCAACTGGAACTACAACGTAAAATGGAACTAACTCTATACAGCGTATTGCAGTAAATACTGCTTACCCTGTTTATATCTAGGCAGGTTACTTACCTCTCACAAAGAGGAAAAATAGTTCAAAAAATCTGCACCCAGTCTATTTACCTACAGATTAATCTACAAGTATTATCACGAAGCACAGTCTGAATACCAGGCTACGCTAAAGGTTAAGAATTAGGTCATTTAAGCCATTCCAGTTTTCCCCAGACAATCAGGATAGTGCAGCAAACAATCATTTTGGATTGTTTCTTTGGTCTTGGATACTCAAGACTGTTTCCAAAAGTAGGTCTGTCAGTTCATTTTTCCACAACATTCCTATTCCTTAGACCCACAGGTCTAAAGAAAAGAAAAGCCTAATGGTGTTAAGAATGTCTTCCACTGAAGTTTTATCTCATGTTCTTATATATTTAAGCTACAAAAAGCTGTATGTATGTCAAGAAGATATTGGAGAACTTCTAACCTACTGTTCAAGGCAATGCTAAGTCCCTCTTCAGCATTTCTATATCCAGGGAGAACCAACATAACTAGCAGACTGTTTTTTTTCTTCAAATAATGAGAACAAAGCTGAGAGTCTTCATTGAACTGGAATGTCAGTCTCAGAAGTTCAATTCATTCCATGTATATAAAAAAACCAAACCAGTGGGACAAGAGCTTCAAAAGCAAAGTACTTATGACCAGCTCTAGTACTTTTTAGCAAGTAGGAATTTTGCAAGCATTGCAAGAGTTATTGCAAAAAAAAAACAATCAAATAAAAAGAAAGAACTTTTACCTATTGCAAACTTGTTTTCCTTCACGAGGAATGGTTGAACCCATAGATTAAAAGTATGTACTTGAAGATCTTCATTAATCTCGAGAGTTTGCTCTTTTCGACACATGTAGGAATTACCAAGGAAAGCATCCCACTTGCTGAAGTTGTTGTTATCTGCATTTAAAATGACTAAACAAAGGGGAAGAAAAAAACAAAGGGAATTTGCACGCACACTTTAAATGCAAGAAAGATGCTAACTCATTCATAAGACTAAGGAGCTGAATCTAGATGGATCAAGAAAGACAAAGAGCTTTACAGTGGACACGACAGTTATCTCATACCTCAAAAAAATATTTTACTGAGAACTGTGATACAGAAGCCCACCTGATTTATATTTATCAAAAAGAGGCTCCATGAGCAGAAGCCTAGGAAAAAACAAACCTACACTGTTGTTTAGAGCAACTTTTGTAGCCATTTGTGGTTGATACTTGGTTCATACCCACTTAAAAGATTTAAAAGCAGGAAGTAACAGTAAGCACCAGTAGCATTTATTTCAGAAGGAAATGATAAATATAGACATAGAATTAAAGCTTACACTTGCTTTAAAGCAGGTATTATTTCTTACCAGAACCATTCAGGTGGTTGAGTAGTGTAACATTCACCTCTTTCAGATAAAATTTTCGTACACTTGCACTTGCATTCTGTTTAACAAGCAAGAACCAAATGTCAGTGTGCCAATCTGCATTTTTAATTTTAATAACACATGCTTTCCAAAGCCTATCACATTTACCAGTCTTACATTTCCCACAACTTTATCCCAGTTATCCATTTGTCTTGAGGCAGAAAGCTGCCACTTCCACTTCCTATATGGGAGCAGCCTACCACCAGCAAGTTACAAGTGTTTTCTTTTTTAAACCAAAAATGCTCATCATGTAATGCTGTTAAAAGTTAAATCTTAGTTAAAAAATAAAAGAAGTTACTTACAACAATGAATGTGAAATCAATTAATGTGCTGTTTCCATCGTTCAGTTTCAGAGTAGCTGATGTGTTCCCACATGTCCCGTCCGTACTAGTTGTTTTCGGATTGATGTTGATCAGAAGAGGCTGAAATACATACCATGTCAAATGAGCTCAGTTAATATCAGGAATTTATTATTTCAGTCAACAGCAGTCTCAAGCTAGAAGAACTTGTCATGAAGGAGAGGACAACATGAAGTCCTAGTCTGGCTACTACCTAACCAAGGCTGTTTGAGTTACATGTACATGCTGGTAATACAAACAACTTGCCCTGTGGTATCTCATCCTGACTTGAGAAAAAAAAAAAAAAAAAAAAAAAGGTCAGGGCGTTTCTTTTGTGCACCTAAAACAACAGCTTAGCTTTGGCTCCCTCTGGGGGAAAAGACAGCATCTGCAGGCTCCTAGAAGCCAAGAAAGTTACAGGCCTTTAATGACGTTAGAGATGGTTCCAGTAACCAGTTAAGTTTAATGCAGGTAAGATTTTGAAGCTAATTACATATCATGCCTCAGAACTATTTTGATGCCAGAGAGGCGTCATGTACACTGAGAAACAGTTTGGACAACCTTTCTACTCTTCTTCATGAGGTTCAACAGGGCCAAGTATGTCAACAAGGCCAAGTACAAGGTGATGCACGGGGGTCAGGGCAATCTCAAACACCAGTACAGACTGGCTGGCAAAGGTCAGCCCCACAAAGAAGGATGTGGGGGTACTGATGGATGGAAAATGCAAAACGAGCCAGCAACATGCACTTGCAGAAGCCAACTGTACCCTGGGCTGCATAAAAAGTGCGGCCAGCAGGTTGAAGGAGGTGTTTCTGCCCCTAAGATCCCACCTGGAGCACTGTGTTCAGCTCAAGCCCCAGCACAAGGCAGACGTGGACCTATGATAGCAGGTCCAGAGGAGGGCCAAGAAAATGAATAGAAGACCGGAGCACCTCTCCTACGAAGAGGGGCTGAGAGAGCTGGGGTTGCTCAGCCTGGAGAAGACTCCAAGGAGATCTTACTGTGGTGTTCCAATACTTAATGGAAGCCTACAAGAAAGATGGTATAAACTCTTTACCAGGAAATGTAGTAATAGAACAAGGGGTAATGTTTTTTAACTTAAAAGAGGGCAAGTTCAGATTAGATATAGGGAAGTAATTCTTCACTATGAAGGTAGTGAGACACTGGAACAGGTTGCCCAGAGAAGCTGTGGATGCCCCATCCCTGGAAGTGCTCAAGGCCAGGTTGGATGCAGCTTTGAGCAATCTGGACTAGTGGAAAGTGTCCCTGCCCATGGCAGATGGGTAGAAACTATATAGTTGCTAAGGTCCCTTCCAAACCAAACTCTTCTACGATTCTAAAATATGAGAGGCACCTTGTCTTGGGAAACATTCAGCTGCAGCCCCACAGTAGCCAGAAGACAAGTTTTATTTCCAGATTTAAGAGAATAGTTTCCTGTGACTGGATTCTCAACAGGTTTGGGAGCGGTGGTTGGAGCAGGTGATGAAGTGGTGGTGGATGTGGTAGTTACATTGGCAGCAGTAGGCACAACAGTAGGTGCAGCAGTGGGTGTATCAGCATGACATCTAGTCTCTGAAAAGAAGTTTTAACACAAATTTCAGCATTGAAATGGTGGTTAAAGTCTCATGACCCAGAGGTCAGTTCGATACAAATACCAATTTCTCTGGTGAAATCTAAGCCCACTGGGAATCTGCTAATCCCCAAGTCAAGAGTTTAAAACTCAGCCCTATGGCACAGGATGACAAGCAATTAACTGCTACAATGTATTCTAAGAAATTTTATTAATGCCCACAGTTTTAAATCCATGTACCACAAGCGATACTACTTCTGATACACTGAACTGAAACACATCCACAAAGATAATTACTCTTGGTGGTTATAAAAATTGATTCACACTTGCTTCAAACTAAGTAAACAACCCTATTGAGCTGTAGGTAGCAGGATAATGTGCTAGTCTATTCTGACTAATTGAGCTATGAGACTACAAGCTACAGCAGGCTCTGTATTATTTAAAAGCAGAGAATCTACCACTGAAAACAAAAGGCAGAGAGTTAAAAACCTTGTAGCTCCAATGATCTAGTGTACAACAATAGTTCTGTAGTGTTTAATACCCCGATTACTGAAATACACTTTATTAGTCTGTTGCTTTGGCATGAAAACAATCTACCTTACAATATACATGTATAGCTAAGTCTGCTATATTAATTTATTTTTCCAGGAACAAGGAAAGGCATAAAGGATATTTATACATTAATGAATATAGCACATTTTAGAACTGTTGGATTATTATTTTTTTTGTGTTACAGGACTTTGGTCCCTGCACTAAAACACAATACAAAAATGCTCACTCACAATTTGAAAAGCTCACCTGTTTTACCAATTGTGCCATTCTGAACAAAAGGCTGCATAGTAATATTCCAGACAAATTGCGTTACATTTTCTGCTTCAACAGAGGTAGTATGATGACACACGAAGACATTATTTAGTTGAATTGGATGCATAGAATCCTTTACAACAACTGTAACCAGTCCTACAAACAAGCACAAATATTTTAATACCTTGTTTACATTTATAGGCAGTGTCACATTATCTATAATTCCACAGTATTAAACATAACTCCAGTTAGTTCTCTTTTAATTTTAACAATCCTAACATCTCTTGAATGTTTTACCCACATGTCCTGACCCAAGCTGCTACGTAGTGCTGAGAAGTAACCAAGCTTCCAGAACTAGAGAAGTCATTAGAAAGGAGAACTCTTTTACCTATTTTTTTTTTTTTTTCAAGAAAAAAATCCTATTATTAGTAGGCATTAGTAGAAAGAAAGCCCAACACTGCATTGTTTCACTAGGTGGAAGGTGAGATAGTGCACAAACAAGTAAGTCTTCCATATACTTGTTATATACTAGCAGCACACCAATCAAGGCTGTTCAAATGGTTAACATTCCCTTTTCTTTCTGTTTAAAGGCACTACCAGATTTAGTTAAGCTAAATAGTCAGCATTCTTATCCAGCATGCAAGTACTCTAAGTAACAGTTGGGCAGCACACAGCAAAGTCACTAGATACACTTTTAATACTTAAAATTTTGAAAAAGCCTAGCAAGGTCAGGTAGGTGAGATATGACCTGAGACTGTTTTGTAAGCAAGATTCCACACTGGATACTACCTTTTCTTTTAGCATCAGGAAATACAGCAGCATCATTGGTGTTGTAGGTAAACACGATAAAGTCAGCCTGGTAAGTTTCATTAGTTTCTGTAAAGTTAACACTCCAAGAGTGACCACCTCCAAACTGTACTGCCAGAAGTGCAGCTTGTGTGTCATTGCCACAGACACTTCCATCGTGTGTCACGGTAGATGGCAAATCCAAACTTGCATTTTTCTAGAAGAAAAAAAGTTTTAAATGTTTTCAGATAACAATTCTTCCCCGTGATGGTATTACAAACGTCCTGGGAATAGGCTAAAATAATCTTGCGCAATGTTCTTTTTCACAATTTTGTACAATAACGTATGTGAGTTGGGTATCAGGGAGGAGCCACATCAGATTTGAGTACAAAAGTACAAATCTCACTAGGATGAAAACCTCAGCTATGTTGAGCATTTACTGTTTGTGTTAAGAACACTGCTACATTGATAAACAAACCCCACCAAGTCTGACCACTGTGCCTTCTACATAAATGCAATAGGGCATTGTCAGTTATTTGTATTATTAACTGAGAGCTTATGCATATTTAGGAGTATTGTTAACTGACTTCATCAAGAAAATCAACAAACTAAATATAAGAGAGTACTTAAAAGTTTTATCCAAGGCAAAATGCATTTCTCAATGAAAGTTAGCTTCAGATACTTACATAATCACTACTGTTTGTTTCATATTTTATCAAGAATTTCATCATCCATTGTGCATACAAGCACGTAACGTTAGAGGCATCCTTTACATCTACTTCCACTGCATAGGACTGGAGAAACCCTGTAAAATAGGATTATTAGCTAGTAAGACAGATTTTACTTCATTTTCTAGAAGCACTTAGGAGAATGATTCATTATAAAGTAGTAGGGTAAATTATTTCAGGACTGGATTAAATTTGCGAGACAATCAGAGTCACTGAATTTCTGACAAATGTAAAAAACTAGGAAGCCCACCATGACATAATCAAGGCTAGACAGAAATTGAGAGGATGTTTTATAGTCTACTTACCTGATGAAAACTAATAGTCCAAATCAGCATTCGCTTTCTGGTAACTGAAACTGCATAAATTGAATTGCACAAACACCACATTTGAAACAAAGTAGTGCTTGTAGACCAATCTCCAAACTATTGTAGCATTGATGAAACATGTAAAACCCAAGTTGACCTCTAAGAAAAGACACTGGCGTGCCTTCATTGTGTTTCCACAATTTCTGGCTCAAGGGACATGGAAGTTAAATTCCATTTAAGATCTAAGAGAACTTTTTATAGTTGCTGGATTTTTAACCCAGGCTGACTCTCAACAGAGGGATTTCCCCATAGTCAGTTTTCATTTGCTTTTGTCTGCAATTTCTAGTCTGCCACAGAACAGACAGATCAGAAGGATCAAAAGAATCAATCCTGACTAACCTCAGGTTCATGTTTATCAGGCAAACTTCCTTAAACACACAGTAACTATGACCACACAGTCCTCTTCAACAGCCATCTGAGTTTCTTCATCCTCTAACACACAACAATAGTTCACAACTAGCTTCATGTTGTACTTCGATATTAGAGGATTTCCTCCCAGCCCCATACAGGTTCTCTCCTCTAGCACCAAGTTCAGTACACAAGCCAGTTGGCTGTGACAACACTAAACTGCAGGCTTCCGTTGTTGATGCTGTCTAGAATTCAAAACTCTACATACACTGACAAGCTTAAACTGGCACACCGGTAAAAGTATCCAAGGCAGAGCTTGGACAAAAGTCCACTCCGAAGCACAGGAAATTGTGCTCGATACCACACCAGTGATTTATTAGTGTTATCACCTTCACATAGCTATTGTGTTGTAAGAATGTTTCTGGCTAAGAACAAGGCAGTAAATTAGGGTTTGGACGTAGTTTATTTTGAACTTGAAGCAATAAAAATCAAAGAGTTTTAGCTTCGATGGCGGCAGCAAATACACTACCCCACCTGACAAAGCATAATACCTGTTAAGATCATTTACCTATCATGTCAAGTAACCGAGGCCATACTCTATTTGTCAAGAGCAGGCACATAAATGTGCACCCTGCTCTCATTACACAAATTGTTGTTGTCCCTCTGTTATCTACATTTTCCTGGAAGAAAATTCACCAACCACTTTAAATCAGCTCATTAAATGACTTATTTAAGAAGGAAATCTTAATGGCTCAGGAATGGTCTGTCCCTACACACCCAAAGATGAGCTGGTGCTGAAGAAGACTGGCTTGGCTGAACAGAGTTATGGCTTGAGCTTAGGAGAAAAAAGAGGGTTTATAAAAAGAGGGTATATAATCTTTGGTAAAGAGGGCAGGCCACTCAGGAGGACTAGAAGGATGTTGCGAGGCTGTGCAGGGACAAAATTAGAAAGGCCAAAGCTCATCTGGAGCTCAATCTGGCTACTGCCAGTAAGGATAACAAAAAATGTTTTTATAAATATATCAACACAAAAAGAAGGACTAAGGAGAATCTCCATCGTTTACTGGATGTGGGGGGAAACTTAGTGACGAGAGATGAGGAAAAGGCTGAAGTGCAAAGAAGAAAACACCTTCTTTGCCTCAGTCTTTAGCGGCAAGAGCAGTTGTTCTCTGGATACCCAGTACCCTGAGCTGGTGGAAGGGGATGGGGAGCAGGATGTGGCCCTCACTATCCATGAAGAAATGGTTGGTGACCTGCTATGGCACTTGGATGTGCGCAAGTTGATGGGGCCGGATGGGATCCACCTGAGGGTACTGCGAGAACTGGCAGAGGAGCTGGCCAAGCTGCTTTCCATCATTTATCAGCAGTCCTGGCTATCGGGGGAGGTCCCAGCTGACTGGCGGCTAGCAAACGTGATGCCCATCTACAAGAAGGGCCAGAAGGTTGACCCGGGGAACTATAGGCCTGTTAGTTTGACCTCAGTGCCAGGGAAGCTCATGGAGCAGGTTATCTTGAGTGTCATCACGCGGCACTTGCAGGGCAACCAGGCGATCAAGCCCAGTCAGCATGGGTTTATGAAAGGCAGGTCCTGCTTGACGAACCTGATCTCCTTCTATGACAAAGTGACATGCTGGGTGGATGAGTGAAGGGCTGTTGGATATGGTCTACCTGGACTTCAGTAAGGCTTTTGACACCGTTTCCCACAGCATTCTCCTCAAGAAACTGGCTGCTCTTGGCTTGAACTGGCGCACGCTTCGTTGGGTTAGAAACTGGCTGGGTAGCCGGGCCCAAAGAGTCGCGGTGAATGGAGTCAAATCCAGTTGGAGGCCAGTCACTAGTGGCATCCCTCAGGGCTCAGTACTGGGGCCAGTCCTCTTTAACATCTTTATCGATGATCTGGATGAAGGGATTGAGTGCACCCTCAGTAAGTTTGCAGATGACACCAAGTTAGGTGCGTGTGTCGATCTGCTTGAGGGTAGGAAGGCTCTGCAGGAGGATCTGGATAGCCTGGACCAATGGGCTGAGGTCAACTGTATGAAGTCCAACAAGGCCAAGTGCCAGGTCCTGCACCTAGGGCACAACAACCCCAAGCAGAGCTACAGGCGGGGAGATGAGTGGTTGGAAATCACAGAATCACAGAATTTCTAGGTTGGAAGAGACCTCAAGATCATCGAGTCCAACCTCTAACCTAACACTAACAGTCCCCACTAAACCATATCCCTAAGCTCTACATCTAAACGTCTTTTGAAGACTTCCAGGGATGGTGACTCCACCACCTCCCTGGGCAGCCTATTCCAGTGCCTAAGCAGAGAAGGACCTGGGAGTATTGGTTGATAGTCGGCTGAATATGAGCCGGCAGTGTGCTCAGGTGGCCAAGAAGGCCAACAGCATCCTGGTTAGTATCAGAAGCAGTGTGGCCAGCAGGGCTAGGGAAGTGATTGTCCCCCTGTACTCGGTTCTGGTGAGGCCGCACCTCGAGTACTGTGTTCAGTTTTGGGCCCCTCACGGGGGGGGCCCAAGGACATGGAGGTGCTCAAGAGAGCACAGAGAAGGGCAATGAAGCTGGTGAGGGGTCTGGAGAAGAAGTCCTACGAGGAGCAGCTGAGGGAGCTTGGGTTGTTCAGCCTGGAGAAGAGGAGGCTCAGGGGTGACCTTATCACTCTCTACAGGTACCTTAAATGAGGCTGTAGCAAGGTGGGGGTTGGTCTATTCTCCCACATGCCTGATGACAGGACAAGGGAGAATAGGCTAAAGTTGCACCAGGGGAGGTTTAGGTTGGATATTAGGAAGAACTTCTTTACCGAAGGGGTTGTTAGGCATTGGAACGGGCTGCCCAGGGAAGTGGTGGAGTCACCATCCCTGAAGGTCTTTCAAAGATGTTTAGATGTAGAGCTTAGTGATATGGTTTAGTGGAGGACTTCTTAGTGTTAGGTCAGAGGTTGGACTAGGTGATCTTGGAGGTCTCTTCCAACATAGATGATTCTGTGATTCAATAAGCTGAAAGAGCCATAAAAAAGCTACTCGTTGCTAACAGTCACACTTGATTTTTTTTTCTGACCTACTAATATGGGCTCTACCATTCTAACAGAAGCAACCTTCCTATTCATGTTACCCTCCTCAGTCATTGTCAGGAAATTAAAACCCACAACCAAAACTTGGGTTCTGTTGCACAGCGAGCTTGCTTCCTCCTGCCCTCACTGCATGCATGTTTTGCTAACCAATACTTTTCTGATCAATGACTGATCAGCCTTCAACAGCACTCAGTGCGTGGTCTCAAAAGCATGTCCTCCCTCCCTTAAAAGCTGAAAGGGTACACCAGAACTTCGGGCTACTGCCTCCAGCAACACAGCCCGTAGTAGCTCACCTGAACCCTCTACCATCAGGGAAAGTTGGTATCACTGTGATTGCTTGCTTCAGCACAAGGGAAGGGCAGCATTGGCAACTGGAAGCATGAGCATTGCTGGGAGAGCAGGAAACGTTGCTTGCTGAATCTGGAGTGAGATCTAAGAACATGTAGAAGCTAGAGCTTCAACACTGCAGAATTATACAATGCTCTCACAACAATTACAGACTATGTCAGAAGGACGAAGCACCATTCTGGCATTAAAAATGAAGCAGAAGATGTTTTGTATCACACAATTTCTCTGTTTGTCTATTTTAATCTATTATTCCTTCAGACGATCGATTTGAACAAAAACAATTTTGACAGAACAGAAACTATTACTCTCTCAGGATATTTTTCAAGTTTCTGGAAGTTTCTACTTAAAAACACTGAAGATAAATGACACCTAAATATTCATAAACTACCCTATTCCCCATCTCCTGCCAAAACCAGCAGTACTAGGTAGATGTAAAAACTGCCAGGTACAAACAGGAGGAGGAGATAACTCAAAGAAAGCAACTCCTTTCTGTGCAGACCTTTGAAGTTTGTTGCTCACGGATGGCTGCCTGGAGACGCCAGAAACTAAAACAGTGGGACTTTTATTCCTGAAAATCCTTAGGGCTACCATTCATTCCACTTTCTTGCAATAATCTGCTGTATGCGGCATTTCTGTGTGATCCATTGAAGCCTGTAGATCTTTCTACAGCACTTGAAAGTTGTTCTCCATACATATTTGCATACATATTTGCACAGATGCTCACCCTAACTAAATGTAAAACTTTATACTTAGACTTGGAGTAACTGAAGGAAAGGAGAATGCAATCCAGTAAATCAAAAGATGGTTCTGAATATTATTTCCGTTATCCACAACACTTGCTGTTTCTCAAAATTTTATAATATTTACTTTCCTCTGCCACCTAATCACTGAATAAAATTCAGACCTCCACAGCACCCATACTGTACAGACACAGGCAGTGCATCTACTTCCCAGGCAAGGTCTGCACACAGCTCTTTGGTGCAACCAAGAGATAACAGCTTTGCAGCAATTCACTCCCATACAGCACACACTTGTTACCAAGAAGCAGCTTAGAGTTTCAGCAACACTAAATATAAAACTCTCCCTCTTCGTTTAAGGAGGTATTTGTTACTGTACCTGAGCACCAGCTCTGCGTTACTGCCCATTCTCATTTCAGAAGGAACGAGGCCAAACCTTAAGTTTTTGGAAACAACTGCAAGCCAGCCAGGACAGCCATATATACACACCTATAGGTCACATCACCTGCTGTCTTAAACACCCCCGCTGAGCCATAATGAATGGTATGTGCAGGACATAATTATTTTACCACAACCCCAGAACAGTATAAATCAAAAGGAGCTTGATAATGATGCTTCAGTAATTTGCTTTGTAATGCTGTGATTTTATTTTTAATTTTTTTCCATGTTATTTTACACAGCACATCTTTTTCACCTTCATAAAAAGGCACACAAGTATAGAATGCTGTAACTGAGGTGTGACATTCTGTTTGCGCTATGAGTTAGCAAATGACAGCAGCAAAGAGACAGCAATACTTACAGAGACTGAAAATATCCTCAGAACAAAGTGGGCCCTAATCAGAAGGATTGGGTTAACTAGCACTCAGACTGTTTTCTTTACAGAGAAATTAGCTCGCAAATAACTTCTCCAAAGGGTGTATTTCTGCATAGGTGCAACAGCAAAGAGAAATGGAGAAATCCTACAGTAAGCAACTTCATGGGGTAGACTGGACCAACATAGATAATTCCAACACACACATGCACCTTGCACACCCTGACCTATTTAGTTACATCAACAGCAACTAAAAACAACTGGAAAAATATGTTTTGTCCAGCACAACTTCTTTCCAGGTGACAGAAGAAACCTGCTTTATAAAGTGTATGTTCTACTGTTAAATAACTGATTAGAGGATGCATCAAAAGTCAGGCATGGAAAGGTAACTTAACACACTTGGCAAGAAGCACTAGCATAGCAATGGACTACATTAATTGCTAAATTTATAATATGTAATCTGGAAAACAGAGGCAGCAATAGCACAAGAGCTATTCTTCACAAAACCTAAGGATCAAACTGCCTCCTCACGTGTTTTGCTTGCATAACAGTGCTGGAGACAGTAAAGCCCATGATAATAAAAAGGAAGGCTACATTTATTGGGAGACAAACCTGTCTTTTTACAAATTGTTCAGTGTATTCATTTACAGGAATGTATATAGGGTATAAAGATGTTATTTATATACATATACGCACACTTTGCTGTTTGTATTATAAAGGCACCCACTCAACCAGGAAGCTGTAGTAAGGCCTGCCACTTAACGCAACTGCAGAAAGTTGCTGAAGTTAGCATTTAGGCATAAGACCTTTCAATAGAGTAGGTAGAGCATTAACCAACAAGGGGAAGAAAGCAGGAGCTGACAAGGCCACTGCGAGAAGGCCGGCTCCACAAGAGCAGGACAGCTCTGGGTGGCATACTCCATGCTTCCAGAGTGGCCTGCGAGGGAGATCCCGCCTCAAAAACAAAACAAAACAAAACAAATATATATATATATATATAAACGCACAGCTATAAAGATATAAAACCGCATCAGCGCCACTTGAACGAACCATTTATTTATTTTTCGCGAGGAGGAAAAAAAAAAAGCAAGCACAAGTATTACAACACCCCTTACGAGGGAGCGGCCCGAAGCTGCGTCAGGAGAAGGCTCCTCACCCAGGGGGCGGCACCCGGGGACCGCACCCCACCCCTCCCCCCGGTCCCTCCGCAGCCCCTCGGGGGCTAAGGCACCACGGCCGTACCAAGCGACACCCCCCCCCCCCCCCCACCTCCGTCTCCCCTCAGCCGGGGTCCGGTGAGGGAAGGCGCGCGCGACCGCCCCCGGCCCTCACGCACGGCCGCTGCCCGCGTCACATGCCTCACCCTCCCCCCCGCTTACCGGAGGCGCCCAGCAGCAGCAGCAGGGGGAGGAGGGGGAGGAGGGCGGCAGGGCCCCGGCGCGTCTCCATGTTGCCGGCCTAGGAGCTCTACCGAGGGGCAAGCGAGGGAGGCAGGCACGGCAAGAGCCTCGCCACCGGTCATGTGAGGGGAGGGGCGCGGCTCGGTGCTGTGGTTCGCGGACGGAGAGCCTGCCGCCCGTGAGGCGGGCGGGACTTCCCGCGGCACGATCCCGCTTCTTCCTCATGTAGGGATGTTGAGGGGTTTCTGTCTGTGCTCGCCTTTCTCATGCAGAAGGGAGAGGTGTTTCTGGGCGAATATGAACCCCTTCCAGAAGCGAGGCTGAGGGAAAAGATGTTCTGTGCCCGGCGTCAAAGGCGCGGCCTGCACCTTAGGGGAGGCTGGGCTGCGTGAGGAGGGCTGAGGGAAGGTGCGCCCCCCAGGGCACCCCACCATGCACAGGTGTTCACTGCAAAAATATAAAGCTTTAAAACACCTGCCGTGTTAAATAAAGTAATAAAGGGGTGAGAAATGGGCTAAAACAAAATACTGAGGTTGGGTAGCAGGGTAGGCATGGCAAGAGCATCAGATGGGTGAGCGAGGCTTCTTGTCACGAAATTGCCGCCACAGCGCCCTGTGTGGTGCCCCCATTTCCAGCTGCCCTGCCAGGGTGGTGGTAGATCCATCGCCTGCCCCACTGGCAGCAGCCACAGCTTTTGGGGGGTATTCATGTCCCTAATGCTGGAGCATGTTCAGCCCTGGCAAGCTGGTGCAGTGACTGGACAGAAACATTTCCTGTAATTGCCTCCGCTGAGCAGGGTGGGGTTTGGCACTGGCACAGAGAGCTGGGATGCTTTTCTGCTGGTTTTGTTGATGCCAAAATGCAGAGCAAAGGTGGGAGAAAGTGACTGCCTGGTGCAAATCTGTGGAAAGGACAGTGGGGTAGGAAGGCAGGGAAGGCAAGAAACCTACTTGAGGCCGGATGAAGGTATAAAGAGTGGTGTAATGCTGGACTGCAGGGGAGAAAAGAGAAAAAAGAAGATCAAAAGAAGACAAGACTGGTCTGGCAAAGAAATGAGACATGGGGAAGAAGAAGAAGAGACTGAGACTGGGAGACAGAAAAAGCAATGGCTTGAGGATGCTCTCAGTAACCAGGAGCTCTGGGTCCAGCAAGGAAAGGCTCTCCTGAAATAAGATATTCCTGCATCTGGTGCTGGAGGAAAACTGCAAATCCTATCTGAGTAGTCAGGAACTAGGAGACGTGCCCAGTCATGAGAAGAGAAAATGAAAGCTCTCTCCAAGGACAATAAGACACATTAATCTGATACAATGAGACAGTGGGAGTATAGATGGTGTAGATAGGAAAGCGGTATGAAGTCCTGAGGAAGTAGAAATAATGCAATTGGTGGTGAAAGGTCAGTTAAATATTCTCCATTGTGTACTTGTAATACCATACTTCTCCATGGTAAAATACTTTGTACTTTTCCAAAAAGCACCATAAAACAACACCTGGCAAGGCAGGATCACCACTGAAAACAGTGAATTGTGCTATGGGGGATCCATGCCTAAGTGCTTGTGTGGTCAGATTTGTTCTCTTATTTCTTTAAATTTCTTGCTTTGATTCACAAGTTCTCCTAGAACCAACCTACTGTGTATATACATACCTATAGGTACATCTGCCTAAACATCTTGTGTGTGAACATCAAAATTCATGTCATTTCAAAATACACAGAAATAATATATATTTTTATTCAGCCTTTGTGCTTTTATTTTTTAATTATAATTTACAGAAAAGTTACCTACCAAAATAAACTTCATACCAGAACCAGCACTTGTTGCAAGCTGCAGGGGAGCATCCGGTAACAGCATCAGGGCTGAAACCACTAATTCTGAAAGTAGCAAGTCTTTCATCTTTCTCAGTTCTGTTGTGAAGAACAGGATGTTTCAGAGGCTTGGGAGGGTCCTGCCTCTGGTGCTTTTACGTTTCCTCATGCTTCATTTCTTTGGTGCAAAGTCCTGTCTATAAAGAGTGGTGTCTCAGGGAGTTAGGAGCAATTACATTAAGAGGATTTGAATATTAAGATAGAGACATAATTGGGCTTTAATTAATAGAAGTAGGAGAAAATGTTTGGTATGTTTCAGGCACTTTGTGTGCTGGAATGTTGTATTTTGTGTTAACTGGAACATTGACCTCAGGACATGTAGCTTTATTTATAAACATTGCTATATTCATAGAATCATAGAATCATAGAATCATAGAATATCCTGAGTTGGAAGGGACCCTTAAGGATCATCAAGTCCAACTCTTAACAGCGCACAGGTCTACCCAAAAGTTCAGACCATGTGACTAAGTGCACAGTCCAATCTCTTCTTAAATTCAGTCAGGCTCGGTGCAGTGACCACTTCCCTGGGGAGCCTGTTCCAGTGTGCAACCACTCTCTCTGTGAAGAACCCCTTCCTGATGTCCAGCCTAAACTTCCCCTGCCTCAGCTTAACTCCATTCCCGCGGGTCCTGTCGCAGGTGTTAATGGAGAAAAGGTCTCCTGCCTCTCGACACCCCCTTACGAGGAAGTTGTAGACTGCGATGAGGTCTCCCCTCAGCCTCCTCTTCTCCAGGCTGAACAGGCCCAGTGCCCTCAGCCGTTCCTCGTACGTCTTCCCCTCCAGGCCTTTCACCATCTTCGTAGCCCTTCACCATTCACGTATCCCCTTTTTCTGAGAGAAGAATCCTGAACATTTTTGATCTTTTGCTTTGTACTAGGAAACAGACCAAAATTACAAGAAGTTCTGCACAATTAAAGGGCAGACCGATTACTTTGTTTCCATTGCAGCAATTTAGGGAAATGTGAAATGAAATGGCAGATACCATAACAAGTGAATCGGTTTCTGTTCAATAACACAGACTTAAATTAGCAACTGGTGTAGGATTAAAAAACAGTTTATATTAAACTTTAGTACAGTGAGAAATACATTATTTTACACCAGAAACATCTTTGTTAATATCAGAACACAGATTCATCTCTTTGCTTGTTTGCACCTAGTTGCTTTCCCTCCCTGTATTTCCATCCTTGGTATACAACCACTTTCCAAATGCGTTTTGTGGTGTTTTGCCATTTTACCGTGATGTGTTGTATGATCTTTTTATTTAGGAGTTTACTTCTTGCTTGCTGTATTAATCAGGATAAATGAGAGGATGATTTCTCCCCTGGAGCTATGGAAAACAACATACTGGCCTAATCCTTCTTGCCATGAAGTTAGCCCCAAACTGGCTGTAAGACTAGCAGAAAGCTGAACTTGCATGGGCTGTCCTGGAGTTAGCTCAGCAAAACCTATGTGCTTCATGTGTCTGAACATGGTGGTTATCCACGAAGGTTGTTTGCAAAGCAGTTTGCTTTTGTACAGTGATTCTCTCCTCTGGCCCAGCCAACTGACAGAAGCTCGGTTTTGGTAGTATTCTCCCTAAAGGGAGAATTTTTGGGCAGTTCCCAAGGCCTGTCTTCTGTTGGTAGCTCTGGAAGGAACAAAATGAGCTGTGCTCCTCTCCCTCTGTTAACAAACCCTCTAGCTTTCCTTAGAAAAACATGTACTGGCTGGGCTCAGAGGTTGTTTGATTTCTCTTAAATTCTGTGGAAAGCTGGTATGTTCAGTACTGGTAGGATTCAAGCTCTGACAAATATTCATTACTTCTTATTTGTTGTGAATAATTAATTTGTGCATTGTGGCAACTTAAAGATGGTGGCATTTATGTGGTAGCTGGACACCAGTAACACAAGATCCAGCTCTTGTGGTCAGATGTTTTCCTCTAATGATAGAGGCCTGAACAATTATAACTGTGATGCAGAAAAAAATGCCTCCCCTTTTGCTTACTAGAGAAATGATTTTGCATTTGGCATGATTTTGGGAGCCACTGGTGGATGGCAAGCTGATCCTGTTTTTGGAAGACACTCCTTCCATTTACTTCTGGATTTGAACACGAGGACTGCAGTGTTTCTGTACAGCATTACAATTTTACTGCAAGTTTGATGTCAGTAGTTTTAAGAAGGTATTGACATGTACTGAAGACATCTGTGATACATTATTGTCCTGGTTTCAGTTAGAACAGAATTAATTTTCTTCCTAGTAGCTGGTGGAATGCTGTGTTTTGGCTTAGGATGAGAGGAGTGCTGATAACACCCCGATGTTTTAATTGTTGCAGAGCAGTGCTTATACCAAGCCAAGGACATCTCAGCCTTTTGCTCTGTCCTGCCAACAGGCAGGCTGGGGGTGCAGTAAGAGCTGGGAGGGGACAGACCCAGGACAGGTGACCCAAACTAGCCAAAGGGGTATTCCATCCCATCTGACGTCATGCTAAACAATATATAGGGGTGGCTAGCCGGGGGGAGGGGGCCGGACTGCTCGGGGTTAGGCTGGGCATCGGTCAGCGAGTGGTGAGCAATTGCATTGTGCATCACTTGTTTGTACATACTATTAGTAGTAGTACTATTATCACCATTGTAGTATTATTATTATTATTATTATTATTTTATTATTATTATTGTTATTATTATTATTATTTTCCTGTCTTATTAAACTGTCTTTATCTCAACTCACTGGCTTCACTTTCCATTTCTCTCCCCCGTCCCAGAGAGGGGAGGGGAGGGGGAGCGAACGGCTGCGTGGTGTTTAGCTGCCGGTCGGGTTAAACCACGACAATTATGATTTCTTATTTAGAATTTGTTTCATTAAGGCATATAAATGCATGCCTAATTTCAAACGTATAGGATGTTTTATGGCTTTCATTCACGTCATATGCTTGATGCCCAGCATATGCTTAATCCTGTGCGAATCCTTTAGCAGTTTCAGCTGGTTGGATATTAGGTTTGTAATCAGATTTTTCTTAATCTGGAGACTTGCAAAAATTAACGGGTGGTCAAAGCAAAGTGTTTGGTGTTTAACAAAGCACCGAGTAACCTAATGCTTTTGATCCATGGTGCAGAAGAGCACAGCTTGTGCAAAAAGAAAAAAACACCTAGGACATGCAGTAGTTACTGATTTATTCTAATGTGTTTTTATTCAACCTTTTAGAAACTTGCTTAAACAACACGCTATTTTGCATGTCTTTTCCAGAGATGCTTCTCTGGGAGGCAGGGAAAGGATTTGGGACTGCTGTGCAAGGGAGGAGC